GGGGGGCACCTTCATCTAGTTAGCAAGCAAAAATAGTGAGATGGGGATCAAAATTTACCTAGTTAGCAAGCAATCAAAAAAAGGTATTTGGGGATCGAGAGTCTCTCTAGAGGTAGCAACAAATCGAGTTGCCTTCACGTCTAGCAACTTCAAGGTCATAGTCATAAAAAAAATTGCGCGCGCTGAGAAACAACGTTTTCTGGGACTCACCTTCTTATATAAAAGGCTAAACCCATTTAAAATAATAAAGGCCATCATAATAAACATTAATATATGATATTCAATTCACTGAATGATAACAGAAACTTTTGAATATATCTTTATACTAACTCGCTAAATCTTCATATTTCTAAGCTTATTCAACTCTATTTCTTCTCTATAGAGCACTTGCTAATTAATTGATTTCTTAATAATCTTAATCATGTGTTTTAAACTAAAGAGCCACATAGTAAAATTTAAAAGATTCTTCAAATCTATTCATTTTAAATAATATATTAGCTAAGAAAGTTAACAGATATACCTTTGTTAAAATATAAATATGTAACTTTAGGGTTTTTCTCAATCGCTAAATCAAAAAGTTCCAAAGCTTCTTCAATTCTACTCATCCTCTCTAGTGTAAGAGCTAGATAATTATTTGATTAAACATTCCTTTGCCATTATAATAGTCATGATTTTGTGGGTTTAATTAAATAGCAGAATCCAAATATTCCAATGCTCCTTCATATCTTTTCATTTTATATAGTGTTTCTGCTGAAAAATTTAAAATATTTATCTACCTTTGAAATATTTATATTCAGAATTTTCAGGGTTTTTCTAAATTGCTAAATCATAATTAATCAATGCTTCTTCACCTCTATTCATTTTCTCTAAAACATTACCTTATACATTGTTCTATAGAATTTACCTTTGTTGAAATATTATTCAGAATTTTCAGGGTATCTCTAAATGGCTTAATCATAATGTTAAAGTGCTTCTTCGAATCTATTCATTTTACTTAATACATTAGCTATTTAGTTAAGTGATTTCATTGTACCTTTATTAATAAAAAACTCAGAATTTTCTGGATTTTTCGATATCGCTAAGTCATAATATTAAAGGGATTCATTTAACATATTCATTGTCTATAGTGTATTTGCTAAGTGATTAAAATTATAGTATTTACCTTTATTGAAATAACAGTTAGAATTTTCAGGGGTTTCCAAAATAGACTTGTCATAATATTGTAAAGCTTCTTCAAATCTATCCAATTATTCTAAAGTTTATGCTTTAATTCACAGACATGCCTACCTTTTGCAAAATAATAGTTAGAATCAGATTTTCTCAAAATTGCTAAATCAAATTACTAAAGAGCATCATGAAATCTATTCATTTTAACTAATGTATTACCTAAACACCACTCTACATTAAATATACCTTTATTAAAATAAAAATCTGGATCCTTAGAATTTTTTATTATTGCTTAGTCATGGTATATCAGCGCTTTCTCAAAATGATTCATTTTCTTTAAAGTAATTGCTTTAAAGTTATAGAGATTTTTAATATACCTTTGTCATTGTAATAGTTTGAATTTTCAGGGGCTATTTAAATAGCTATGTCATAATATTACAACGCTTCTTCAAATCTGTTCATTTTATCTAATATATAAGCTAAGCAGTTATTCTGAATTTAATGTACCTGAAACAGAATAAACATCAGATTTTTCAGGGTTACATTTAATTGCTAAAGTACAACACTACAAAGCTTTTTCATATCTATTCATTTTTTCTAACATAAAGGCTAAAAATTAAACTTATTGTATTCTACCTTAGCAAAGATATTGATTATCTGGATTATTGTTAATTTCAATATTTTTCCCATTAGCTAGTTCAAAGAAATCTAATGCCTCTTCAAGTCTATTCATAGAACCTAATATGAAAGCTAAAATATTGGCGTAGTAATTACCTTTTACAAAATATTGGCGAGAATCTTCAGGGTTATTATCAATAGCTAATGAGTTAAATTCTAAAGCTTCTTCAAATCTATTCATGGAAATTAGAGCTTATGCTATGAAATAGACATGTAATCCAAGTACCTTTGCCAGAATAATATTTTGAATTTTTATCATCTTTCATAATGGCTTAATCAAAATATACCAAGGCATTTTCAAATTAGTTCATTTTAATTAATGCTTCGCCTTAGTAATGAGAGAGATTGTAATTTACCTTTAAGATAATAATTAAAGGAAATTTCAGGATTCTTCTCAATAGCACTATCCAAAAAATGAATTGCTGCGCTTAATCTATTCAAACCCATTAAATCAAGAGCTATAAAATTTCTTAATGCTAAACCTTTATTAGTATAATAGGTAGAATCTTCAGGGTTTTTTTGAATAGCTAAACCATTATATTCAAATGCTTATTCAAATCTCCTCATATTGGATAAAGTCATTGCTATGAAATTAAATAGTAATAATTCTACCTTTATAATAATAATAATGTGATTCTTCAGGCTATTTTTCAATTGCTTAATCAAATAAATTTAATGCCTCTTCAAATCGATTCATGTTTCCTAATGTGCTAGCTAAGAAATTATCAATAGTATTTCAACCTTTGTTAAAATAATATAGAGAATTTTGAGGATTCTTTTAAATAGCTAAATCATAACATTTCAAGGCTTCGTCAAATCTATTCATTTTGCTTAAAGTTGTCCCTTTAAGATATAGAGAGATAATCATGTACCTTTGTTGTTGTGGTATTCAGATTTTTCAGGATTCATTTTAATAGCTTAATCATAAAATTGCAATGCTTCTTCAAGTCGATTCAATTTTTTTAGTGTAATTGCTTTTGAAATTATATAAATTCTAATTTACCCTTACTAAAATAATAGTCTGAATTTTCATGGCATTTCTAAATAGATTAATCATTATAACCCAATGCTTCTTCATCTCTATTCATTTTAGATAAAGTAAGAGCTATTAAATGATCTTGATAATTTATACCTTTGTTATAGTAAAATGTAGAATTTTAAGGGTTTTTCTGAATAGCTTAATCATAATATTGCAATGCTTCTTCAAATCGATTCATTTTCTTTAGAATAATAGCTTAAATTATTCAAGTTTTTAACATACCTTTGCTATTAAAATAGTCTGATTCTTCAGGCTATTTTTCAATTGCTTAATCAAATAAATTTAATGCTTCTTCAAATCGATTCATGTTTCCTAATGTGGTAGCTAAGAAATTATCAATAATATTTCAACCTTTGTTAAAATAATAGAGAGAATTTTGAGGATTCTTCTAAATAGCTAAATCATAATACTCCAATGCTTCATCAAATCTATTCAGACTCTATAAAATTGTTGCTATAATTTAAAAGAATTTAAGTAAACCTTTGATATCAAAATAGTATGAGTTTTCAGAATGTTTCTAAAGACATTAATCACAAATTTTCAATGCTTCTTCAAATCTTTTCATTTTTAATAAAATGATAACTAACCAATTATTCTGTTTTTTTACCTTAATTAACATAGTAACCTGAAGGACCATTTTAATAACCAGATTTCTTAGAGTTTTTCAAAATAGATGAATCATAATAATCTAAAGCTTGTCCAAGACGATTTAATTTATCTAAAGTATTTGCTAGACATAATGTACTCTATTAATAAAATAGGATTCTTTCTCTAACCAACCCTTAAAATAATATGACTTTCTGTCTCCTTATTTTGTTTAAAATTTAGGTTTTCTTGGTAAATTAATGAAATTCATTCCCTTTTATTATTCGTTGTGATTTTTCCTTTTGAATTATTCCTAAATGAGCATAAAATTTCATCAGCTCACAACTAAAAATTAATGCAAGTTTGACATTACCAATACTAAATTATCTCGATGTTACAATCATATACAATATATTGCATCATTTAATAAAATAATAAAATACCCTTTACAGAATCATTATAATGTTTTTTTCAGAACTGTTAGAAACCATTAAAATCCAATCCAAAATTAATTTCAAATAGATACTTGTTTTTTAATTATAAACCAGAAACAATTTTCAAGTATATTTGCTTTTATAATTTAGAGATTTATCATATACTATAAATGGAAGCAGCATTGTTCTTCAGCCTATTGAATTTTAGATGTAGATTTTTGAAGAAGATGTTTTCAAAAATTGTTATCCTATATTAACTTAGTGTTGAAAAAAAAAAAGAAATTCTATTTTGAGGAAAATTTTATTCAAGAAATCTTTAAACATCATAAACAATGAATGAAAAATACACCATTTTATTTGATAAATTAAAATAATTTAATGCAAAGAAAATATAATTGAATTTATATTTGTAAGATTTCAATAGAATTATGTTGTTATAATGTGGATTTAGGATATTGTGTTTTAAACATAAATTTTGAAAAGCTCTTTATTATTACATTCAATTTACATTAAAAGTTTTGAATTAGGCTATTCTTTTTAGTGATAAAATTTCGAGCTCTGAGACTTATTATACAGCTTATTCAATTAATTTTAACATGCTTTAAGCTTATTTCAAAACTTCTAGCTGCACTAGTGAAGGCAATTAGCTTCGACTTAATCTTATTCATGAATGAACATTATTTTTCCATTAGATTTAGATTTCATTATTACTTCTAATCAACTCTAGTCTTACACAATGGCTTTACTTCATCAGATTATTTCTATTATTATTAGTATCTTAAATTGCTTATAATAATATGTATTCGAAAAGTCTCATAATTTATTTAAGTTATTAAAAATTGCAATATCATTATTTTCTTTCTATTCAAGTTATTCTAACTAAAAATTTATTTCCTTTAACTATGCCTAATAATTTAATGATTTTTTGGGCGTTTTGGAAAAATTCTTTGAAGTTGAAATATATTGTTTTTAATTATGATGACTTATTCTATTGTGGCTTATTTGATAAAATAAAAAAAATTTTAATTATGATGAAATTAAGAAATTGTTAAATGTTGCAAACAGCTTAAATATTTTCAATTTTTTAGGGTTCTATGCTTCCTGCTTAAGATAACCTTTACAATATTTGAATCAAGTGAGAAATCAGTAGTTAGACAATTTAAATTGCTGCATTTTAATAAATATCAATAAAAAAGTATTGTCTAAATAATAATTATCATAAATTTAACTATTATGCTGCATCTTATTCTAATTATTTAGCATAATCTCTTTGAGTTGCTGTATTTTTAACAGAAAATTTTGATTTTTCAACATAGAGGATATATTTTCAATTTTATATTTAATTTTAGAAATTCTCACATCTATTATATTAGAAAAATTAGAAATTCAAACAATAATCTATTGATAACAATATTCCAAAGGAAACATTTTTCTTCTTTATTAGCCAACTAATCTTGATAATGTCATTATAATCAAAATTGAAACTCAAGCAAAAGCAATTATGCTTGCAGTGGAAGTAGCTTGTTTCATATGAGAACAACTTTATTTCTGTTTCATTTATCTTATTTCGGAATTTACATGAGATTAAACAGAATCCGAATATTTATATAATATCATTATAGTAGAAATGAATTAGTGTTCTATTCAACTTTATAATGAAAATACTCAAATTCAATTCTTTCCCCAAATTCTAGAAAGAACAATCTTAATAAAAATTATTGAATTAACTTAATATTAGATTCTATCCCTTATCTGTAATGAGAATTTTTGAAGTTCATGTAATTTTTATTTAAGTTCTCCATATAAACCTTAAAATTTAAGTCCCCTTTAACAATGTGTTAAATAAGAAACTAATGAGGATTTCTACTCTTTTAGAAATTGCAATCGATAAATTAGCTAAATCATTCACATTCCATTGTAATATATTTCAAAATGAAATGATATATATAATGCTTAATTTGTGAGCCAGAATCATAAATAAGAAGGAAATAGTCAGAATTTGAATCTTTTCTTTGGTGTTTCAAAATTTTATGTATTCATAGGATAACATATCATTAGAACAATAACTAACAAAAATATTTAGAGTTGTTTGGTATTCAATGATTGAATTTTTTTAAAATAGTAATTTGATGGATTTTGAAAGAGTTCCTTGAGTAACTTTTGTCCTTTATAGCCTTAATCTCCTTATCCTAATATATCTACTTTGTATCACTGTCAATTACAGGAGATTTTTAATATCAAAGGCAATCATGATGTTAATTTATTCAAATCATCAAAAAAATCCTACTTTCTCATATTTTCCTAATAACATTGTCTCAAATTAACTAATATCAAGGAATGAGATAAGATGCAGTTTCATAATCAAGTATTTTTTTTAGTGAACTCTGATAAGGAAAAAAAATAATCAGTGATTAAATATTTATAAAATAATTATGCGAGAGTTAAATGGTTTTGCATCTTGACATCTAGCAATTAAAGAAACTTTCGAATGGTTATAAGCTGCAACTTTGCTGCTTAATAGTTTGTTAAAATGCTTGAAAATTATTTAACTAACAAATTTAAGAACTAATTATATACTTCATACAAGTACTTTTTTCATTTTTGAAAGATTGAGACAACTCCATATCAAGGATTTCTTAATTCAGCTCAATACGCAAGATTCAAAGAATTATTCAATTCGCTTATATTAACCTAAAATCTGTAGGCTGTTTATAATTTATTTAATTCTAAAATATGATTTGGCAGATTGAAAAGTTTAGTTTTTCTTTTATAATAGCATTATTGTAGAATTTTAGGAATCAGGATTAATCAGTACATTAAATTTCAAAATAGACTGAAGAATAATCTCACCTAAAGAATTAAACAATTTCTGATTTCCTTCTCATGTTAAATCTTCTTTCATCCTATATTCAAAGCAATTTCTTGTTAATATCATTTAATTTAAATTCTTCAATATTTTTTCTTATATTATTTGTATCCTGAAGGCTATTATTTCTTATTCTCAAATTACTTCCATCTAAGAATTTTGGTTGTATCAAATCAAAATTATATTATAAGTTTCTATTCGAATAATTATTAATTTTATAATTCAAATATGGATAAGCCTCCTTAGTAAGAAGAAAAACATTTATTTAAAATAGTGTTAATTGGTAATGGAATTTGCAATTAGTATAAGGTGATTCAAGTGTTGGAAAATCAAATATTCTTTCAAGATTTACCAAAAGATAGTTTAATTTTGACAGCCAACCAACTATAGGAGTTGAATTTGCTACTAGATCATTAACAGAAAATGGGAAAATAATTTAAGCTTAAATTTGGGATACTTGTGGATAAGAGAGATATAAATCAATAACAAGCGCATATTACAGAGGAGCAGTCGGAGCTATGTTAATTTATGATATCACAAAACAAAAAACATTTGAAAATATAGAAAAATGGATCTAAGAATTGAAAGAGTATGCAGAGACTAATGTAGTAGCTATGTTGATTGGGTAAGATACTTATAATAAATAGAAATAAAGCAGATTTAAAAGCTTAAAGAAAAGTTCCTAGCGATAAGGCCGCTTAATTTGCAGAAAACCATACAATGGCATTTATGGAAGTGAGCGCATTTGATGGAACGAATGTTGATCTAGCATTTTCAAGACTTATTAATGGTATTTTGTTACTTATTTAGAGAAATATATTAATTAATAAATAAATAGTCTTTAGCAGAAAATTAGGATTAATCATTACAGCAGTAGATGCAGAGTAGGAATAACATGCAAATTCAATAATCCTAATGTAATTAATCATAAGACACTTGTTGCAAATGAGATATAAATGTATATTTAGAAGAAAAAATAGTATTTCCATAATTTATAGAATTAACTCATTATCATTCTTACTTAAGAATTTGAAAAGAACTCTACATGTTTGTTATGTATTAAAATTATTTATAAAATTAACAATCAAATAATTGTTTATCCCCTTTTTCAGTGAAAAATAGATGAATTGAATAATACTTTTGATATATTTAGAAATACTTCAATAAATCATCACTAAAATTAATATAAATCATTTAAAAATTGTATAACTTCCGGTTCGAATTTGTACTTATCAAGTTTAAGCATAACAGAAACATATAATTTTTTTAAATTTAATAATTAATCCATTCTTTTAGGAACTAAATTACTTCTCAATAAATAGATATTATTCATGGCAAAATCATTTATTAGTTTGGATTTAATTTCTTCATTGAAATAGATATTCATTGTCATTAATTTCATCTGAACAAAGGCTGCCAAAATAAGACTTATTTAGCTAGTTTCAATTAAATTGTTCTTAAGGTATAATTGTAATCTTAAGATGGTTCTGCAATTTTATAATGCCTTCTAAAGAAATATTATATGATCATAATTTAATCTTGCATTATTAAACTTTAAAGTGATATCAGAACAGTTTGATTGCTCTAATTCACATCCAAAAATGTCTAATGTATTGTAAGTTTGGATAGTGTTGTTTAAATTTAAAAAAAGCTTTTTATAAGTAAAGTGAACTAAAATACTAAAATCAGGGGATGGAATTGTGTGTTAATCGCTAAGACAAACCGTATCAGTTAAAAATAAGTTCAAAGATCTCAATTATTTTTTGTTAATAATATTCTCTTCTTAAATTTTTGTATTGAATGATTAACAAAAAATATTGCTACTTAAATCGAGAGAAAATGTATCTAGTAGAGGAATTTTCATCACTGTGTTTAAAAGATATTATAATTTTCTTATATCTTAGTTTGACTTGCTAAAATTAAGACTTAAATTTTTTAATTATTTCAATGATTCTAATACAGTAAGTATTGATTAAAAGAATTGTGTGGTCAATGATATACTAGAAAAATTTAATGAGAGCTATTCAATTTTATATGCAAATTCATGAATTGAAAAATGAATTTAATTGAAGTTACTTACTGAGCTAACATCTAGCTATAAAATTTTTAAATTCTTCGAGCAAGCAAAACATTTTGAAACAATTTATTAAAAAATTTCAGAATTTTCAAAATAACAGTTTCCAAAATTCAATTTTAAAATTTCTAGCTTTTAGGCTTTTGAAAAATAATTAAGTATATACGATAATAGGGATATTTCTACTTCATAAAACTTTTATTCTTATATTGTCATACAAAATGACTTTAAATTAGAAAAATTACAAGTTTCGGATGGAATCATCCTATTTTTTTTGTTATATGATACATTTTGGTGTTGCTTAGGGTTGATAAATATATTGAGTTCTTCAACAGCATTTACATTTAGGATTTATGGAAAATAAGCTATGGCTCTCAAATTTATATCAATTGGAAGAACAGATATTTAATAATAAACTACTTTTTAAATTTTTAATTTTTTCAAAGATTCCAAATATCTAAATACACCTTTTTTTTGAGAAGCTATTGTAAAACCATTAATTAAGGCCAATACCTTAATTTATAAATTTTCCTCTTTCTTTGTAACTTCATCTATTTACTCTTTTAGTTAATCAAAATCTGATTTTATTCTCTGCTTTAAAATCACTTTTAATTTATCATTTTTTATGCTAACATCTTCCAATTTGGTTAAAAACAAAGTTTTTGCTTTGCTCTTTTAATTTGATAATTGGGATGAAATCGTTCTTCTTTTACCAAGTTTAGAGGGATAATCAATCGAAATGGATTCATTCATATTTTTAAATAAGAAAAATTATTAGTTAAAATTTTAGCTAGAATTTTTACTTAAATTATAAACATTCAATAATAACTTCTACTCAATTTTGCTCCTATAATTAGATATCTTTAAGAATTTGAATTTATACACAAAAATCAAATGTAAAATGAAAATTTAGACAGGAATTAATAATTTTTTGGTTATCAATCCATTTGGGGACATAATTCTTATCTTAAAATTGAATCTTAATGATTAAGATATTTAAACGATGAAATGCTCAAATAAAACAAGTTTCATATTTTAATTTTTTTTACCCTTATATAATAATCAATTAAAAAAAATTTCCGCTTCAGGCCTTCCCTTTAAAATTAAAATTACATAGAGCTAATTACATAGCAACTAAGGGACTGAGCGGACTCATAAAATCCAAGTGAAATTAATCTTTGTCAATTTTTCCAAATTAAACATAAATGAGATCTCTTTCTTCTCCTTTTAACACTAATTAAAAGTTCTTTACAGAGGCTTTTTTAACTCTGCCAAAAAAATCTAAGGTGTATAATTTCTACTCTAATTTTCAATATTAATAAATATTACATTATTACGTATTTATAATTTAAGGTTTACGACTAATAAATTAGACAATTTCTTTTTCGCTTTTTCTTAAAACTAAAGCCATCCTTCTTGGTCTACCTTTATTTTCGTAATTTGTATCAAAAAATACACTCCCTAATTACACTCTCATCTTTTTAATAGAATTTGATTCTTTCTTTTTCGATCCACTATCAAATAAATAATAATCTGCCTTAGATTGTTTGCTTTATTCAACTTTTCCTAATATTTATCCTTAATCTTTTTGTTTAAATTCGCTGTCTTATGTAATAATAAACTTATTCTTATTTAAAGACTTCTTTGCTGCTAATAGAAATTAATTATTGTGACACCAATACATCTTATATTTTGGCATAAATCTATTGAGTCCTGATTTATCTCGTACAATTTTGCATTAAAACATACCTTCAGTAGGTATTGGATTAATTAAAAATGATAACAATTAGTCAGGCAAGTTTATTTGAGTTATGTTTACAGAATATGGGCAAACAGGAGGCATAGGTATTAAATCAGATATTGCAGCTTCTAGAAAATCGCAAATTTCTATTTGACACTCTTCTACCTCTTATTTCTCAATTTATTCAAGTTTTTCTATCTATTCTAAATATTATTATTATTTTTAAATTTCTTCTAAAACCCAATTATTACTTGTTTCTATTGCATCCCGTTAACATTATTAAGATTAACTAACTTGTTTTGATAAAATTAATGGATCTAAGATATCTTAAGAAGCTCCCTATGGAATTTCCAATAATTTAAATTCACCAACTCCCTCTCCTATTGAGTCACACGATTATTTTTTCTCTTAATTAAATATGTTCTTTTCAAATGTGAATGTATTAAGATCAATATCGCAGGCCTCATAGCTAGCTCCTCCAACACCTAAATTCTTTTTATAGTTCTTATTTTTAGTTATGACTTTTGTTGACTTGCTATCTAAAATCAAATTTCTACATTTTTATCAACTTCTTAACTTAATCCTAAAGTATCTAAGCAAATTTTTGGAGCACACTTATTATCTTCATCTGAGTCTGAGATATTGTTTAAAAACATATTAATTTAAATATATAGATATTAAGTGAATTTCAATGATTTTTAATACCGACATTTTTTACAATCTACTTAAAATTTTCTTGGTTGTACGAAAGTTTTCTATCGCAAACAGATTTACTATTTTGAATAAATGAAATTTTATTAATGCTAGGTTAGCTTCGCTTTAGTTTAATCAAATATTTAAAGTCAGCATTTTTCTTCAATAAATATGTCATTCTTTGGCTTTTGGATACTCTGCTTAATAAACATAATAGCATATTGAGAGTATCATCTTCACTCAGCAGTTCTGGGTCTATTCTGTTAGTCAAAATTCCAGTTTGTATCGTTTCATTAGTAGGAGATGTTAGAGTTAAGTTTGTTCGTGTTTTATTGATTTCAGATTATAAGCTATTAATTTTTGATTTTAATTGTGTTATCTATTGGATTGAATCTTATTCTTTATTTAATTGATAAGAGCTAACTCGTTTAGCCGCTAACAATTCTATTCTTATTTCTTCTATTGTTTTTTTCTGTTGATCATTTATAGCATTTAACTATTATAATGTGCTAACATCACTCTAACTTTTCTCTTAATACTCTTAGAGTTCATTTGTTAAAAATTCAATTTAATTATTCATTTATGCAATTTATTAGATTTGTTATTAAATCACCTTTTACTAATCGCAAACTTATTATTGCATCTTTAATAATTCTTCATTTTTGTTGTGATCCCTTTATTATAATTACTTAAACAACTATTCATCATTTGAACTTTCTTTGCAATTAAAAGTTTACAGCGTGTAAATTTTCTATTTTGTTGTTGGAAAATGTGATTATTCAGTTACTCTTCTCATTATTTTCTACACTTATTCTCTGGTGAGAGATTATTATTTTTTTGATTATGGAGTGACTTATTCAGATTGTTAAGATAGAGAGGAAACAGTTATGTCTGGCACAGGGATTCTATCTATCATTCTTTCTAATTCTCCATAATTCTAAACTATATTGATATTCATACCGTAATATATTCATCCATTTTATATTTTAAATTATTTTAACGATAGACAATTTTTATCAGGCATAGTTAATAATAAAATTCACTACTTCATTACCATAATAAATAGGATGATTTAAGAATGTAAGTATTGCAAAACCCTTTTGACATTAACACAACAACACTATCATCAATACCTTTGCCCTTCTCAGTAATTCTTGAAATAAATGAGTCAATTAAAATTTTTACTATCCAATGCAAAAATATCAAGTTAACAATTCAGCTAGATAAAAGAGATTCTAAAGTTGAATTTCAAAGTTATCTACAAGGATGATCTCATAAGCAATAATAAATTATTTAATGATTCATTTGAAAAACAAGAATTGATAGGGGAAGATATATTTTTCATGAATTCTAATGTTTCGAACTATTTCGAGGATAATATAGGAAATTAAGTTTGCAATTTGAGTACATTTCAGGAAAAAACAGAAAATCCAAATGAATCCTTCCATAGCAGCCACTCTGAATTTTTTGATTACATCTCTCAAATAGATAATCAAATTTAAGATTCATCGATAATTGTCAAAAAAGAAATATTTACAATTTCTGAACTGCTCTAAAATCTATCTTTTAAGGAAGAATATTCATCAAGAAGTCCAAAAACACTTGAAATGAACCAAAATAATAAGGTTAATTGCCAAATGTGTAAAAAACAATTCAAAAATACAAAAACTCTGAAGAAACATTAGAAAAATATTCACAAACATACAATAGTGATCTCTACAAACTTGAATTAGTAGGAGATATAGCTAGAGGCTGCTCTTTGATCAATATTACATATTAAGACTTATCTCCAATAAAATTTATTTATATTAAGAAATGCTAAAAGTCTATTAATTATTTTTTGGTCTAACTATTATTATTGAATATGTATTATAGAATAAATTTTAGTGAATATTGAATCTCTTAACACCCTTTTCCTATATCAGAGGTTTAATTTATTTTATTTATAGTTATAACATATTTAAATTCAAAAAAGAGGATTTATTTTATTAACTTTTCTTACATGGCTATTATTCTCATTATGTGTTCCAGAAACATGAGTTAACTTAATATTCGACAGTAAATTATTATACATACTTTATTGTCTTATTTCTCTATTGTTAGGGGAATTGTAAGCCGAATAAGGAATCGTTGACTTTGCTTTTTCAATCATAGATCCTCTTAAAGTAAGAATGTTTGTAGAACATTTATTACTATTATCTCTTTACAAATCTATTTATAAATCTGTTAATTTTTTTGAGTTATCATCTTACTTTTTAATCAATTTTATAATCATTTCATTGTTTTTCTTTTCAATTTACTATTACTTTTCCATCAATAGGAGCATTCCATCCAAACTCTATTTAATTTCTTCATTATTATTTATCGATTCAGATTTTAACAATTCCAACTATTTAGAGATATCTTTCTACTCATTTTTACAATTTAAATCTCCTTTTGACTATTCCAATAAAATTAATGATTAGATTATTTCTAAGGAGTCACATTCTTTGCTCAATATTTGCAAATGTAGAAAATTTTCACCCAAATTTGTTATAATTTTTCTCCAATATTGTTACAGTTCTTAATTCAGCTCATCATTCTCTAATTTTATTTTATATTACCTTTTGATTGCTTTCAATAGATTCTGATTTTACATCTTCAAACATTATTAATTAATTAATAAATTTAAGAATTGAGTTATAAAATGAATATAGTAGAAGTTTACTTTGTTGATAAGGTTGAAATCATACTTACAATCAAATTGAGAGTGTATTTGCATTTCAATTTTGTCTTTAATATATGACAGGATTTTTGCTTGTAATTAACTCTATAGAGATCAATAATAATATATATAGAAATTAATCAAAATATTGTTTTTCAAAATACTCTGCATTAACAATCGTCCCTAGTTGATTTACGATTTTAGGTCTTGCTTTTTACTTTTGTCTTATTTTAATTGCTTTTAATCATTTATTCCAATGCAGTTTCATCAATTATCACTAAATTATCTTATTACTAAATTAAAATTAGATTTACCTCGCTTTATTTTATAAATGGCCTTGCTGATTATGAAGCTTCCACAGTAGACTGTAACCTAATTGCTTTCTTAAAATTATTCGGGCCAAACTCATCATTTGATTTACCTAAGATCATTTACAATTCATTTGAAATTTAATTTCTGTCCTTATGTTTATTCTTTGATTCAGTAAAAACTAAATCCTGGTTTTATTCGACTTTAGCTTTATCTTAACTTGGATGTATTTCTATTACTTCAGTGCTTTCTGGCTTTTAAACTTAATTGTTACTTGTTTCCCATCCTTTTTTTTCTTTCTCTTTTTTGGTTCCTAAAAATTCACTTTGCTTCTGTTCTTTTCTTTTTTGATTAATTTATGCAGATGGATCAAAAATCAAACTTTAGTCATTATTTTCCAATTAATTCTATTATGTATCTATTCTTGAGAGGTCTTGTTTAATAAAAGAAGAATTTAAGGATTTAGTTTCTTTACAATGACTTTTGATTCTTTAAGTTTATCTTTTTAAAAAGCTATCCATAATTAAGCACGCTTTTAATATATCCTTTCCTTCATTTTTTTCTTAAATAAAAGCATTTCCTGATTAAATGGCTCTCACTGCTGTTTTAAATTTTTGAGTTGCCTTTACAGTTTTATTTTCCTCATCACTTGATTCACTTTTCTCACTTTCTTCTTATTTTTTCTCTTTTTATTATTATAATTTATTAGTATTTTAATTTTGTTATTGCGATTATTCTAATAATTGTCTTTATGATGATATTCCACCCTGTATGCTTTCTTAATCAATTATTTTTCCGTAATTTGAATATTATACAGTATTACCAGTGCTTTTGATAATGCCGTCAAATTTTATTTTAACATATTATTTTAATTTCTTAAATCCTTCTTAGCAGACCATAGAATACAAGGATTAGATTAGGTCTTCCCTTTGTATTTTATGATTTCTTACAATATTTTCATCAGTAAATAATGAATGACACTAAATTATCTTATAAATTTATTGCTTAGGCATTAATTAAAAAAATTTCTTAAAAAAGCCTTCTAAGCATCTTTATAATTCAGTTCTACTAAAAGACTATTATCCATAATAGTGGGCATTCAGGTATTTTTCGAATTTTTAGGTGAATTATTTTTCAGATGCCCATTAAGAGTACTATGCACAATTCCATAAAATCAATATCTTAGATTAATTTAATTATTACTTCTAAAAACACTGATTAATTTACATTGTTTTTTTGTTATTTGATTTTTAGACAATTTTGATGAACACATAATTTGAGTGCTAAAAAATCAATAATTTTGTGAACTTTGAGTTTTTTTGTTTCTTCTTGTGTTTTTGAATCTACTTGCATTATCTTACTTAATGATTATAAAATTTATTGAATAACATCAAAGGTCATCCATTTTTGTATGTTTTTAAACTTTAAAAGGATATTTTCTACATCTCGATAAGATAATTTATAAGTATTTTTTTCTTTGAAATAATCAATTCCCATTTCTTTTAAAATAGAAATGAGACTTGTTATATTCTTTATTTCGACTTCTTTCCCTTTAATCGTTTCAATCCCTTTTATAATCTCTAAACGTTTTTATTTATTCTTAATTTCTTAATAGGAGTATTCCAAATAAAAACTTAAAATATATGGGAAAATAAGTAAGTAATCAACTTTGCTTTGGTCATCTGGCAACAAAAAATTCTCAGAAATGTCATCAATTTATTTTTATGTTAATTTTCCTTCAAAAGCATCTGCTTCAATTAAAGTTTTATCGCTAAACACTTTAAATTTCTTATGTCCCAAGAAATCAAGGACAACTGTGAACATTTTCGTCAGTTCTTTCCTTTCTAATGTAAAATTTTTGTTTGCGTCAAAGGATGCATAAAAATCAATGTAGAAATCATGTAAATCCCTCACTGAAATAACGGAAAAAAAATATATAAGTTCCCTATGTTAAATGAATAGAATTACGGATGAAGCACACTTATATCATTGTATGTTTCCATATTCATTAATGGTTTGCTGTTGGTTAATAAGGAGAATCCTTTCTTTTTTTAGTCCTCTTCTACTTTTGAAAAGTTAACAAGCATATATAATATAGTGTAAAAGCTGCAATCCTAATTACGAACAAAAAACTAAAATTCTAATCAAGTAGCTTTATAATATTACCTTCTCCATCTTTCACTCCCTTTTTAGAAGAACTGAATGATTTAAAAAATGAGGAGGGTTGCTTGATTAATTTACCATGCTTTTCATCTTTTTCTTTATTTTGAGATAATGATGTTTCTTTCCTTGAAATCATAATGGAGGTACTAAATGTTAAGAAAACAATAATTTATTGTTATTAATTCAGAATTATAAAGTTATCATAAAAATTGCAAATATATACTAAATTTAATCATTATATAGAGCAATAATAACAGGTCGAAGATCTATCTTTTGGTTTTTTGGTTTTGGCTAAATTCTATTAATACAAAATTTAGGTTTATAATTAGACATCATCTATAACTACTTAGAATTTACCTTCGTCATCCTTAAAGTCCTAAAAATGAATAATTTTTATACATCATCTGTTAGTTAGAATAACTATTATTTTGATTAAGAAGCTTGAAACATTACTTTCGATGCCTCTTAAACAGATGGCATATTTCCATAATAAGCATTTTTAAAATTTTGAGGTCCTTAATTTTTACCTTCTTTTCCTGCAACAGTGAAAAGATCATTGGATTAGGATTCAGAATTCTTTCTTATGTCTTTAATAACAATCTATGGTCGTTGTTATTGAAATAGTTTTTTGTCTTTTTTTTCTTCTCCCTATTCTTTTTCTTATTCAGGAGGTGATATTTCAGTTGCAGTAAACTTTTTTGATTCTTCCATTTACACATTTTTAACTATTTTCGTTTTCACAGATGATACTTCATCATTTTTGGAGCAGGTCTCTAATAAAATTTCTTATTCATCAATTTTTGAAGTTGTAATATCATTCTAGTTATATTTACTTTGCTGCATTTTCTAATGCATTTGACTTTGTCTCTTTAAAAAGCTATCCATAATTAAACAAGCTTTGAGAACATCTTTTTTAGATTCAGCTTTTTAAGCAAAAGCTTATTCTGAACTGATTACTTTAACAACTCGTTTAAGTTTACCTTTAGCTGTTAGTTCTCTCTCATGATCACTTTCTTCTGATTCGGAGTGGTTTCTTAGATTGTGTTAATTTTATTAACTTGAGATTTAAGATTTTTTTGATTTTTCATCGAATTTTGGGGACTTTTATTATTTTTCACTTGATGGGGGAGAATGAATTTAGGAATCTTCATAAAAGTCTTTCCCTTATTTCTAATATTAACTTATTCTATCTCCATTAGATTTATTAACTCCATCGTAACTTATTCGAATGTACTCTTTTAATTTTCTATAACCATCTTTGCACATCATATTAAATAATTCATTTACTAAACTTTCCGTAGTAATAGGAGTTTGAATTATTTTCTTTCCCTGCACCTCAGGATGCTGTTCTAAAATCACCTTTATTAAATCTTTTGGCATCAATTAAAACTTTTTCTTAAAGAATGCTTCTAATATTTTTATTGCTTCAGGCCTTAATAATTAAGTCTAATCTTTATAATGTTTATTAAGAAACTTAGAAAATTATTATTTGATTGTAGGTTCTCTCATAATCTACCCAAACATTGCAGTATTCCATAAAACTAAGATTTCTAAGTATGCTGAAGGGGGTTTAGATTTATCCTTGTCTTGCTTGCTAATATTTAAGCAATTCTAATGAATGCATAATTTTAGAGCTAAAAAGTTTACAATTTTATAAAGCTTCAAAGGTTTGCCTTCATTTTAAGTTTTGGGATCAACTTCCATCAATTTAGCAAGCTGATTTATTATTTACTTGATTATGTCAAATGTTATCCATTTTTATATGTTTTTTAATTTAATTAAAACATTTTCAACATCTCTGTATGTAAGACATGTTGTTCTCTTATCTCTGATATAATCTATGCCCATTTCCTTAAGAATTGTAACTAAACTAGTGATATTTCTAATTTCAACTTCTTTCCCTTTTATAATTTCAGTGCCTCTCATTAAATCTAATCTCCCTTATCTATATTTTATTTGCGAATAGGTAAATTCCAAAAAAAACCCTAAGATGTAGGGAAATAGTAATAAGTAATCGATTTTTGATTCCTTATCCAAATCTCTAAAGTTGTCTATCATTTCATTGTAAACCTTGTCATCTAACTGATTATCATATAAAGAAGGATCGCTTAAGAAAAGATCAGTTATGACCTTAAATTTTTTTGCTCCCACACATTTATTTACAGCTATATCCAATAATTACTTAAATTCTGCAGGTTCTAATGAGAAATTTTTATTTTTATCAAAAGTAGCGTAAAAATCAACATAAAAGTCATGAAAATCTCTAATTGAGATTATTTGGAAATAGTATATTAGTTCACTAGAATATTAATATATCTTACGTTCTTATTTAACGTATATCCCCAACCTATTTTGTGATTGGTGAGTATGAATTAAGTGGAGTTAAAACTGATTATTTTTTCAAATATTATTCCATTCCATCAAAATTTAGAAGCAGATACATTAAAATTCTCATACAGTGATCCTATCCTTTGGTTAAAAATTGTATTTCTAAAAATTCACATTTATATACCATCTTCCTGGGGTTTAAACATAGTATTGGAAAATTTTGAAAAAAACGATTTCTATCCGTTAAGATTTTTAGTCGTGTTCTAACGAGCTAATGACCCTTTTGATAGATTGCTATCTTATCTTTCATAGCTATTTTGCTTTGACATTCAAAATTACTGTAATTTTATAATTATTTGTGAGCAATTTAGTAATCTCTAAGAGAATTATAATCATATTCATATATACTCAAAATAAAAATAAATATGCTTCAGTAAGGCGTTCGAAGTTATTAGCGTTACTATAGGAAACCTAAGAAATTAGTCATAATTATTCTGTTTTAACAGGATTACAACTATAAAATGAAATAATTATTAATTTTAAAACTAACTTTCGTTTTCATTTTAAGCGAAGGGTGAGAAAAACTGTTTACAAAAATATTTCAAATCAAATAAAATTGAATACTTATATCATTAGTGATTGGTTAAAACTGATAACAATTTTGATTAATAAATTATTGCCATATATGGACTAACTTTTATAGATTAATTGTATTTGCACTTTTGTCTAAGTATCATTTTTTTATGGTCAAATATTATGGGTATCTATTGTAATAAAGTCTTGAATTATGGAATGAAATCATTACTATTCTTAAACTTGAGAAATTAGTTTAGTTAAATGTCAAAAAAAAATAATATAAACATATTCCAATAATAAATTAATATTTATTCTAAAATAGATGAGTTAAAATATGAATTTATCATAAAATCTTCGTTATGGATCTTTTATAAGAATAGCTGGCAAAGGGAACAGTGGAACTAAAGGTATTATAACTTCCAAAGGGTAACACCATCAAATATTGATCTGTTAGTTTTTTCGATCATGCTGTTTATTTCTAAACCTATGAAGATATGGATGATATCAATAATTTTAGGGACGGAATCTTTCAAATATTGCCTAGAGGAAGTTTTGAAATTCATGATGAATATTTGAAAGGAATGTAATTAAATCTCTAAAACCATAGGGATAAATCACCGAGTTTGCAATAGAGGATGAAATCCGAAAAGGAGTAGTATTTCAACATGATAGATAATAAAATGAATGAAGAAGTCTATTTCAGGTATTAATTTGAAAAATATTTTTGTACAGTTCAGAAGTAATATTTTAGCATGTTGAATCCGGGCAGTATTTAGCCTGTTCGGAAGAGTGCAGCGATTCAAGAAGCGATAGCTTTGGATTAAAACTATAATAATTTTTATCCAGCAGAATTATATTCAAGATGGAGCCGAGTAAAAGTTATTAACAAACAGGAAGGCCAATAATTTCCAAACAATCTGTCAAAATCCAATCGGATATAACAAAATTTTGGATTGATAAAAATATGAGATAGCCAGTATAATTAGATCATAAATCGACTTAAGCTGGGTTGAAAATATAATTAAAAGGATTATAAGAAGATTCTCACAGATATGAATTGATTGTTAGCCATTATTCTGACAGTGAATGGAAAATATAATTGTATGATAATTATGAGAAGCACTAGCTAAATAAATTAAAACTAAAAACTAACGAAGTAGTTACTTTTAAATGTCCTAAAAATGAAGCATATTTAGGAGCTGATTTGTAAAATAACACTATTGTTCTTAAACCAACTTTGCACAACTAATAAATACCCGTAGAATGTTTATGGGAGTTGCAATTCTAAGAAAAACCAAATAGTGAATTACCAACTATAACATTATAACCGAGAACCTTAGCAGCAATACGACATTCATTTTTAGGATAAAATAATCTATTTGTACCTAATGTAAATCAATAGTACAATTAAAAAAATGCAACAGAAAATTAACAATAAAATTAATCTAAATTTAAGAAAAATATCTAAAAGTAGTTAAGATTAAGACATGTAATGACTGGCAAATTGTTATTTTGTTAAGATTTATTTGATGCTGATGATTGTTTTCCAGCAATACTATCTGATGATTCCTGCACAATAGGTTTGTAATTGGCAAATAGATATGAAAGAGAATTTATGGATTTATCGTATGTTAATTTGGTCCGAGATGATAATGTTCTTACATCTATTTCAACCAAATAATCAATGAAAACTTCAAGTGATGTACGCATTAAGAAATCAGATAAAATACAAGGAACAAATGGATTCTTTAAATAATTAATATAAGAAAAAGATAGTATAAAATGTGGTTTCAGGGATCGGGCATTTAGTAAACCATTTATTATTCAAAGAGTCAAATAATCATTTTTTAAAATAGTCTTACAACCATTTTCAGCTTATGGTTAAATGTTATATTTTGTGCAATAGCTATAAACAAACCCTTTGAATTTTCCTTATGTAATCCCGCCTGAAAGAATGTATTAAATTTAATTTTTATTGAATCGATTACATGAATATTTAATGGATAAAATTGATATAAGTGATGAAAATGCAGATGATTTACCTATTTTTGAAAGATAAATAATTCTCAAAGAACTCTATTTCATTGAGATATTGGTCGAATTGCTGTATCATTTATGTTATAAAAAAGGAACCAAAAAATTGTAAGTTTGGAGAAAACAAAAGGAAAACATTTAAACTATTTTTTCATCCACATATTAATTAATGACAAAGCTTATCTAAAATAATATGGTAACCAAACTTTATGCATCTTAATGGCTTGAGATGTTCCTGCATTAATATATGAGTTTAAATTAACCTGCCATTCAAACCTTCCTATCTGAAATGTTAGATAATAATAAAGAAGCAATATAAAAATTCTTGAATGAAAATATCATCAAAAAACTCATAGAACTTATCACATAATAATCACCTCATGACAAATATCTGAAAATCTTAAATGCCATCTGTGTTTCAAGCAACTAGGCTATTAGAGAAAATCAGAAACTAGTTCTAGAAAACTTTTTTAAAGTTGTTGCTCCAAGTATAGCATGTTATTTTATTATTATTTAGATTTCAAATTTGATTTTAAGATAAAATAAGGTCATATTTACATTCAATCAGCAGAATAATTAACATATTCTAGGTGGTAGAATTTAGAACAATTCTACAAATCCAGTTTGATGAATGATAATTTAGAATATTGGAATTATTTTATTAGTTATTTTGATTTATTGGGAGATGTAGCGATGAATAGATTTGCATAAGCTAAAGAGTTCATTGATTAAAATTATTCATTGGAAATATTTTGTATGATCCTACATGAGGCATAATCATATCACATGTTCAACTTAATGAAACCTTTTTTAAAGTTAATTCGATATGCTTATATAGATACTCCCCCTTACTAAAAGTTTAAGAAATTAAGAGTTGTTTAATTTAAAGATTTACAAGGGGATTTCATTGATCATTCAACAACATTACCAAAAACAAGTCCATTATTGGACGTAATGAGGTTTCTATTATAGCAATTAGAAAATATAGATTAATTACATAATAACATTGAATATTCAAAAAACTTATAATCAGTCCTCTAATTACTTAAATGTTCAATAGAAATGCAATTCTGGGTTGATATGGATTAGATAAAAGTAATATTAACTGCAATGTATAACATTTGCTCAAGTATTAAGAATTTTAAAATGATTAAAGATTAAATGGAATCGCCAAATCTTTAACTTAGTTCTAAAAGTATTATCTAGCTGAGTAAATTATATCAATCTGAGGAGAAAGAAACCCACCTTCATAAAAAAATTAAATCAACCAGATTAAATGAAACAAATAATATATTTATGACATGCAAGCAATTAGCCTGTGAAATAATTAATACAATTTTTGATCTCGAAAATAATATAAGAGTATTTACATGCTCAAAATCATTCAAAGAATAATTATTATAGTTAGATCTAGTAGATCCTAATTTGGCTAATATCAATAATAATTAAAAGAGTGTAAAGTCTAGTATTAACGTATAGAAAATGTCCAAAAAGAGCAATGCTTTTATTAAAGTGATTTAATAAAAGTTCAAAAATTAAAATATCGCTGAAGAGAAAAACCTATATGATATAACTAATTGGATTAATTAATTTAGGTAGATAGTCTCTGATAGATCTCTGTCCAATTTTGAAAATTTTGAATTGATATTTGCAGAATTATCATTTTACGAAAATCTCTATTTACCAAAATATTCCCTAGAAATTCTATCTAGAGCCTATGGACAAAGAAAAGAATTAATTTAAAATTTTGAAAAAGTAATAATTGTTGTTTCTGGTAAAACTTAAGAACTAAGTCTATTAACAAAGCAAATCATGAAAAAATTAAATATACTTTATTAATCAGAATTCTACACTATGTATAAGGAAACAAGCAATAACATTAGAACAAGCTTAATTTGGTATCATTCGAATGAACATTAGAAGGCTGGCTTGATGTAAAACCTTTTTCAATTAGGATTGTATTTAAAAAAGGACTTTGATAAAGGGAGGTCGTTGAATCCTTTTAATTTTGAAGATTATAAACCGGAAAACAATTCAACTATAGCATTTTGCGAGAGGGAGTAAAATTATAAGTTACATTAAGCAATATTAATAGCTGAAGAAATTCACATACCGTTATTAGAATATATATATAAATTTAAAGCAGATTAATCAACTATCTATTGGAAATTCTTACATTCAATTTATGATTTTTTTACAATTCTTATTTGGAATAATTAAGAGAATAAATAAATCATCATAAAAAACAAATAGTTGATGTAAAGCATAGAGCAACATCTCAAATTTAATATTGGAGCCATTGATTTTTTGAAGGCTTTGTATGCAAATAATAAATCATTGTTACTCAGTGAAAGGGAAATGACATTTATTTTGCAATCCGTTGTGCCAGTTTGCAATGAAGAGCTCATCAACAGTTATTTTAAATCAAAAACTTTAGACTTTATTAAAGCTTTATTGTTATTTAATTCTAATTATATCACATCAAACCAAACTATAGTGCTTTAGAAATTACAAGAGAAATAGTTCAACAAAATAATTTTACAATTTAATATTTATGATGATTAAACTCCTGTTTCTCCAGGAGAGAACAATTTTAGTGACGTCACTTCTTCATTAGACAGCCAAATCGACCAAGAGACTATGATATCGGAGTTGGTAATTAAAAATTGGATTAATTAATATCAAAAAAGCTATGAGAATATTGGCTATGGATTTCATGAATTGTATATCTCCCCAGAATTAACATATCTTTACACTTTCTTTTCATTGTTTAGTCAATTAATTGAGGAAAAGCACATGATAAATATCAAGAAGTGCTTGAAAATTCATAAATTTAATGATTTAATATTACTGCTACATTTGGCTTAAGATTGTTGGCCTTTGAAAAGACATCTCCGAGCATACATTAATCGATTGTATTATAGTAAAGTAAGCGATAACTTTGATTTAATTATCAAAATTGATTTGGTGATTATGATTGATGATTTATAGAAGATTATAGACTATTTAATCTTGCCATAGCATTCTTATATGGCAATGACAATTATTAAAGCTCCCATTAGATATAAGTATTTAATGAGTTATATATATTTAAACTTGGAGGAGATACTAATATCATTAAATAGTTTATTTTTAAACGAATAGTTTCTTGAGTATTTGGAAGAATTAATACTCTTCAACTAATAAAATTCAATTTATAGATTACACTTCTAACTATTTGAGATTTGCTAAAAGCTTTTGATAATAGAAAAAATCTATGTTAAAGAAAACTTGGGTCATTTGTGTTAATTACTATTGGATGTATTTTAAAGTATAATCTCTGGGTTTGAAACTAAAGTACTATTGATGCGAGAAGGCTTGTATATAAGTATGATTGAGGAAATGCTATTATCCTAATACATCAAGGGTTCGGATCAAAAGGATCTTACAAAGACTTAGGTGAGTAAATTATAGCAAATTTAAAGAAATAGAGAGATCTACAAATAATTGTAATAGAATAGTCATGATTCATCAGTTAAATAATATTTGGTTCATTAGGTATTTTGCTTAGATTAGTAATTTGTTAAAGAAAGTAAATTACAAAGTACTTTAGAATTTTGGAAAACTTAGTCCAAGTAAAGGTTTAAATCATTTAAACAAGACATGAATGATTTAATTAATCATAAGTTAAGAAGAATTATGAATAATTGGAGCTTCGTCCCTCAATTTTCATAGTTTCTAGATGAAGAATTTTATGAAGTATGCAATAAGTTATCTTCAATTGGCAAGCAATCTTAAGATGCTTATTAATCAAAATACGAAGTGACAACACTTTAAGATTATATCTAAAACATCATTTCAATCTGTGGAAATACTAGAGAATAACAATTTTCTGATGATATTAGGATATTCTTTTTGAGATTGCTTAGCAGATTAATTACAGAAAAGAATCTTAGTAATAAATAAAAAATGGTAGAGGTGGATCTTTGGACAAGTGAGTTTTGGATCGATTATAAATAAGAAATAAATCATGCTTAGAATCTACTTGCAAAATGTGGTGCATAAGATTTGATCTTATTGATATTATCAGAAAGCTTTTTAGAAATTAATTTATCATTGTTAAATGAATGTCTCTTATTTTCAATAGCGTTTTTATTAGGAGGGAATACTTAAGCATAAAATGCAATTTTATTGAAATTAAAATAAGATTCACAAAATTAGATTTTAACTAATATCAAAATTATCATCACAAAATTAACTAAGGTAATTAATAATAACTTTTCTATTGTAACTTATAACAACACCAAAGGTTGTGATTTTATATAGACAGTCGATAACTTTGACTTTTATAATACTAATACAAAAGTTATGCAAAGAGTGAATGTTGTCGATCCTGATGACTTTAAGGAAACGAACTTCAAAAAGCAATGTTTAGATGTGTTATGCAGGTTCTTTAGAGTGATGCAGTTGTTATGTGAAAATAATAATAGTGAAATGAAAGAATTTTTCAGAAGACAAACTGATGATGTATTTATAACATATAGTTATTTAGTAAAACATAGCAAGAATTAACTCAATAAATTTTATTGAATTCACTAGTGTGTAATTAAGAGCATATTTAAAAATATTGTCTAGAGCCATCATTATTATCCCTGCATCAATACTTGACTTTATTAATGAAGTAATTTAGTTGCCTTGCATTGAAAATTAAATCACTTTATGTCATACTACCTTTTTCGAAGATGTCAGCAATATGGCTCATTTCTTTGCTAATAAATCAAATCAACTTCAAAGATTGTTTGATACTGAAGATGATTTGTAAGAGTTGTAAGAATTATTCAATAAAATTCTTCAGACTGTATTGTTGGTTTTAGAAGGCAATGAAGAGAAGATTTATAAGGATATTTAGAACAAATTAGAAGCCTCGTTTCTTATTAGCTTCTTAAGTCTAAGTTTTGAATAACTTAACATTGAAAACATCAATGATTTAGAAATGTATAAGTTTATTAATCCTAAATTTTAGTTATTTGTTATAATAGGATAAGATTTTTAATTCAGATATGCTTCGAATTTTAAACGTATGCATTATCGAACAAAAAATGGCGTCTTATTAGCAAAGTCGTTGGATATAATAATTCCATGAGCAATTAAGTGTGAATCCAATAATAAAGGATATATATGATAATCTTATAGTTTTAGTAATTTATTATTATAAAATAGATTCATCACATAGAAATAGTCTATGAAGGGAAGTCTATGACAGTATTTTTTCCTTATCATCCTCTTTTTAACTTATTATCTGAATCATCAAAACAAGATCTATTATTTTTAATAAATAGAGAAACTCAAAGAGATAAACTGCTGGGTTTGCTTAGTGCAACCAATATTTTATTTTATGAATTAGAACACAATTATAAGTTAAACCATTATAGAATTCCCATAACTTAAAATAATCTTAATGTAATGTAAAAATTATCCTCTGTCTTAGCCTTGCTTATAAATTTATCAATGGTATGATTATATATATTGAATTATAGATCTTTTTCTACACAGTTGTAGTGAAAGGGAATACATATTTGTTAACTTCAACTCTGTACAACTCTTTAATCATAAAAATGCTCTCTGTCAGTTAGCTATTCTCATAGATTATCTTATTTATAATGGTTAGTTTTCAAAGGATTCCAATTTATCTATAAAAAAACAGCAAAGGCAATGACAAATTAAGTCTTTTATTAGTGATCATTTAGGAGGATACTTGTTTACTATTGTTCCTATTGGTTTTATTGTCTTTTTTTGGTGCCTTCATAAATAGCACAGTATTTGTGATCCATCTTGTTGAAATATTTAGTCGAGTAACTATCTTAAAAAATGTGTTTTAAGCTATTAGTTATAATGCTAAACAATTACTGGTTGTGGCATTCTTAGGAGTACTTTTTGTATTTGCCTTTTCAGTTATAAGTTTTAGTGTTTACTTTGATGATATCTATTAAGAGGAATAGACTGAAACATGTGATTCATTAATTACTTGTATGATAACACTAATAACATCTGGTGTGATTGGTAATAGTATGATCAATTGGGATCCTTTAAAATTCTTTTTTGATATGCTTTTCACAGTGTTTTTTGGATTGCTTTTTACCAACATTGTCCAAGGTATCATGATAGACACTTTTGCAGAATTGAGAGATTAAAGACAAAAGATTGAAGATGATATAAAAAATAGATGTTTCATCTGTGCAGCATAGAGAGGTGAGTTGGAAAATAAAAATTAATCATTTGAATAACACATTCAAGAAAAACATTTAATATGGAATTATGTATTTTATGTTAAATGTTTATGGTTAAAAGAATGGACAGAATATACAGGATTAGAGTATTGGATATATGAAAAAATAAAATAGGATGATACAAGTTGGTTTCCAGAGTCCGTCATTGATGGCAAAAATATAACCGAAAGATTAGATTAATTAGAAAATCTGTTATCATAAGTAATAGTCTATTAAGAGAATAATTCAGGAGGATGAATTATAGTTTTTATAAATTAAGCATCATAAATTATTATTTATAAATATATAGATGGATGAGCTTAATTTGAATTTAATGATTGATATTAAATGATATAAAATATCACTGCTGCCAAATTAAATCATACTTTAATTCTAATTAATTTCTCATGATTAGTTATTAACATATCTCCTTATCTTAATATGTCAAATCTTTCATCAGGCAATAAATTAAAAAGAGTTGTTTCTTCCCAAGTTATGATATTAAGTTTTTAAAGCAAATTTAACTTTTTAAAATATATATCATTATTAGTTTTTGAATAAATTAGGTTTGACGAAGGGAATCTTAATATTCTTAATATTTTATTTTTATTATTCAATAGTACAAATTTATCTGGAGGTCTGGAAGTGACAACTTAGAAAAATTTGTTCTTTGATAATTGAATTTCATATGCTCCTGGTACCATAAATGTACCTTCTACTTTATTTCTTACAAAATTGATGAATTTAATTATTCCAGCATATGATATGTGAACCAACTATTCCGGTGAATAATTATTTAGAATTAATTCTTAAATTGGTTCAACTTTAATTGCCTTAACAATAATTTACTTTTTATAGTCCCAAATGCTAATATTTAAATCATGACTTCCAATAAGAATAAAATTATCTTTATGAAATTCCAAAAAAAATACTTCCCTCAAGTTTCTTGTTAATATTATTGAATTTTATTATTCTTTTGCATTTTCTATTCTTGTTTTACCATCCTTTTAATAAGATAGTGCATAAAGAGGATAACTTATAGCAATAGCTGATGCCAAACCATTTTCGCATTATTTTTGATAAACTAATGAATTCTTACTCAAATCCCAAATCAATATTTTTTCATCTAAAGCGGTACTTATTAATAAATTTATGTTATTTTTATCCTATTAATAGAATAAAATTGGTTTTGTATGGCCTTTTAATTCTCCCACTATTTATCTCATCTAATTTCAATTATAAATTTGTAATATAATAATATAAAACTCATTACAATTTTAAATTCATCTGATGTTCATTAAGAATCGAAATTCTTAGAGATCCTCAAAATACATTTACTATTTTTTGCAATGTCTAAATATGCTATGAATAAAAGTGCCATCTACAATTTTATAAATATTATTTGAGGTATTTTTATTACAATTTTCTTGAAATATTATTATTATCATTTCCGTAATTGATGTTGTTCAGAAGATCCATAATGCTTTTAAGTCCTTGTCTAAAATCAAATGCAAGATTTTTGATCTAAAGGCCAAGATATTATTTTGGAGATCAGAGAAAAGAAAATCCATTGAGTGATTTAGAATAAAAGCCTCCCCTTACGAAAGATGAAGTTAAAGAAACTTTAAAGGGTTAAGAGCCTGAAGAAGAGGAAGACATTTCTAAGAGATCTAATGTGCTTCTATATTCATTTGGTGCCATAGGATTAATGTTGGGATATGTGTTTATGCAAATCACTCAAATGGGATATTAAAATAAATCTAAACCTGTAGAAATGACAGTCAAACACAAAGGGAAGGCATAAATGTATTTTAGTAATTGATTTCAAGAGGCGGACCATGGAAATTATTGACTACAGATGGAAGAGTTATGACTGATTAGGACTTAAGAGGATCATATTATATGATATACTTTGGATTTTGCAATTGTCCAGATATTTGTCCTGCATCACTTCTTAAACTCTCAAAGGCATTATAAAGAATCAGATAGTTACCAGAGGGAAAAGTATAAATCTAATTATTAAAATAGCTTTTTAATTTAAAAACTATATTTGTATCAGTTGACCCTGATAGAGATTCAGGAGAGAGAGTTGACAGATTTCTATCTCATTTTGATAAGAGTATAATAGGATTAAGAGGAAGATCTAATGATGACCCTGAACTAAAAGAGGCAATGAGAAATTTTAAGATTTATGCATCGAAAATTAAATTCTAATAGGAGGATGAAAAGACAAAATAGACTACAGATTAATACACAATCGATCATACAATCATAACTTACTTGATGGATAGTGAGAATAATTATGTGACACATCTTGGATCGAATTTGGGGGAATTTGATTTGGCAAGAATAATTGTGGAAAAGATTCTAGAGAATGAGAGAGAAAAAATGTAAAATTGATATGAAATTTATCTAAGTATTAAGCATCAAAGAGTAAATATATTTGTTTTTTTTAATTTAATGATACTAATTTTATAAAAAATGAAATATTCAATAGTTTTTGATCAACAAAATTAATATATTTTAATTTTATATTAAAATCATCAATAATCTAACAATATATATATGTATAATTCAAAATAAGCTTTTGATCTGCTATGGTTCTTTTTTATGAAAGATTATTACTGATATCATTACCAAACAGAGACCGATGGTTATTAATTTTATGAATTCTTTTTATTTTTATTCTTGCTAATTAGTATACATCGTCTTTGTGATTAGTCTTGCTTCTTTTTTTTAATCAGTGTTATCAGATCCTAATATTCCATTTTTATAGGTTTTTCTAATAAATTATTGCGTATTATTATTGAAATCTAACTTTTTTTCTTTATACTAACAACTATTGTTTTAATACTCCCGAGCTTGTTACTATGTTTCATTTTTTTCCAACTTTTTTAACTAAATAGAACTTTCTCTTGTTGTTCTAATTGTTTACATTGTATATATCGATCTTTCAGTAATTTTAGTATCACTTTTCAAGCTTAAAGATGTTGAAGACTTAAACATTAATAAAAAATTAAATTTCTCGCAAAATTGAGATCATAAAAATTATTAGTGCAATATGATTCTTTTCTAATATTTTCTGATACTGCTAAGTTAATAATTATGTAATATGAATACCAATAACAAGTGAGTACGTTCTATTAAATTATTTTAACTAAATAATTGGTTATCAGGTGATTATTTGTAATTTTAAATTTTGATAAAATTTGACTATCTTTCAAAAAGTCCAATTCATTATCACACAATATTAGATTATTTATCATTTGATAGATTAGACTTTCATTTGATGGTTACTAAAAGGACAATTCAAATTTGGAAGATTAAGAAGAGCCAATCTTCTATTAATAATCATCTTTTTAAATATTTGTAATCATTTATTATAAAAATTGATTTTAATTAATGTGGTTTAATTATTTTTTAATATTATTCTGTTAAAAAAAAAATGTCTGAAGAAGAATTAGTAAACAAGTTCATTGATAACATTTCAAATGAGCTTCACTACAAAAACCCGGAAGAAGTCGTCTAAAATGTATATCAATTGATTGATTTAACATGTAACAAATAGTTAATAATTTTAGAGATCCTGTTGGAAAAAATAAGAATACTAAACATTGAAAAACATGATCATTAATAGGAATTGGAGGCTTAGAATGATACTTTAAGAGCTGAAATAGCATTCAACCTCTAACAGTAAATGTAAATGCAAGTATAGTACTCTAATTATTTAGCGTATTTAAGATGAGTTATTGTAAAAATAGGATACATTATACGAGAAACTACTAATCCTTGAAGAAGAATTGAAATAGTAATAAATTCTTAATGCAATTTATAAAAACTAAGTATAAAATCCTTAACTTTTATGATAGTTAGAATCGAAGTAACATAATGGAGAAAATCAAAATGTAGAACAGTTTGTCTTTGAACTTAAAGAACTGTAGATTGAAAATGAATATTAAAAGTAATAAATCCAATCTCTGAAATCTATAATTTCATAAAATAAGTAGGATTATTAATCGTAATTGATGTCAAATTCATCCCTAATTTAACATTAAGAAGCCATTATAAAAAGTAGAATTTTATTTTATTTTAGATATGAAGGACGAACTAAGCACTTAAAGATAACAAATCAGATAGTTAAAATCAGAAAATAAATAGATTAATGATCAAATATTTGAGAAATAATAATCAGCCTTGAAGGAGATAACAAATTCACCATTTCTTCAGAATGCACACTCAATTAATACCAAGTAGAAGACCATTGTGAATGAACAGAAGGATTCTAAGAAAAATTAATTTTCATCTTAAAAAAGGTATTTGTAGGCTGATGACTTATATGATGTCAATTAATTTACACTTCTTGAATGTGAGTTGCAAGATACCAACTATAATACCACTTTAAATACTTGTTGTAGAAATAGCTATAATTTTAAAAAAGTATAAATAAATGAATAGCCTACTCCAGTATAAAGAAACATCTATAAAGTAAATTCTATTTAAATTCAAATTAGGACTTTTTTAATTTAACATCCTAATGTGTTAAATTGAATTTGAATGAAGAAAAATTACTGGATTCAAGAGTTTCCCATTTGTTTGATGAATATGTTGACTAAAAGATACCATACCATTAATGGTACAATGAAATAAAGAAATACTTATTGACTTTATTATGACATTACTAAAATTAACATAAATTCTTTAAGAATTGAATTGTTATAATAACAATATTTTTAAATAATAGTATCAATCAACTAATGACAATCTTTCCTAAATTCAGAACGAATTCATTTCCATATAATATTATCTCTTTTTTGAAACTACCTACACTAAATTAATATTATAATTGTCCTTATTTTAATGTTATTATTTCTATTTCAAAATCACCTTTGATATTATCAAATCATTACCAAAACGATTAGTACCTCCAGTGGCCACACACAATGAGTCTGTCTTAATACAAATTAATGTATTTGGGACTGGTTTGAATTCTTGATTTATTAAGGTTCCTACTATTTTCATCATTGGGCCATAGTTTTGGAATTGGAAATTAGCAATTCCAACTCCTTTAAAATTGCCAAATTTACAAAGTTGATTATTATCTAATTTATAACCAAAATTGCATTCTTGGCATTTTTAATTATTTGGGACACAAGATTTGCATCCTTTTAATCTGCAAGCTATATACTCTTTAAATTTATTACATTTAGACGATTATAATTCTATTTATTTCAATTATATTATTGAAGCTGGACCTTCTAGTTTGATTGGCAGAGATTGGATTGGTTCAAACTAATCGTTATTATCCAATACAGATAGAAGGGCACTTTTTGGTAGTGATTTGATTCCGAAAATATGAAATTCAAATTGGCCTGTTGAAGTTGTTATTGCATTAGTTTAGAGTTATTATTTTTCCTCTTCTAAAATTAATGAAAGATGAGTATCACTCAATTTCTCATTAAATGATCCCTTGATCACAAGAGCTCCATACCCTCCTTCATTCATGATAATATTTGGTAATGAGACTTTGTCTTTGAGGACAACATTTAATTAAGCAATTGGATTACTATACACATAGCCTAAACTAAGTTCGGTAACTGATATTGAAACACTGTATTGTTAATTTAGCTTCCCTTCTGCATAACTAAATGTGTATATGCCTTCCTTATTAGACTCAATTGATTGCTTATAATTTTCGATCTTAATTTCTAGTTTGGCAGGGATTCCTTATCCATATTGTGATACTACTTTTCCTGTGATGAGATTTTACTCCTTATGATATAATTTTAAGAATTTTGAGTTAATGTTATCACTTTGAATGCATAAAACCAGCAACAAAAGCAATGCAATTGAAGTCGTTAATATTTTTGTATTATTCATATGATTGAAAATTAATGGAATCATTCTAAGTATGGATATAATTAAAGTGAAATGATATTAATGGTGATGATCACTGGACTATCCAACTTTGCTACGGTGCCAGCACTCTATGTGGTGAAGAAATAGAATATGATATACTAATTTTACATAGGGATTTTCACACTATTAACAAGCTTCATGTACCATACACTTGAGAGTTTCGATTGTTCTTACTTCATCATAGAAGAAGGAGGATGGCATAGATTGGATAACATAGGATCCATCACTTGTTTTTAAATGTTGTTTACGTAGCTTAGTGACTTTTAGAATCTTGAATTTGAAACTATCCTCAATTACTTTGGTCTTTTAGTGACTATGATTTGTTAAGCCAAATCACCATGGGATTTGAATTATACAATAGGTCCGATTCTTCTATAAGCTCTAATTTGCTTATTGGTCATTCTCAAAAGAAAGCGTTTACCAAAATTAATTAAAGCAAAAGTAATCATCAACTGTAAATGATGCTAGCTCCAAAAGGGCTTTATTGTGAGTTTATTCGCTGCTTTATTTTTCACATTATCATAGGATGAATTCAAAGATTACCTTAGATTTTATCATGGAATGTGGCATGTTTGTGTAGGAGTCTTTTCATTCTATATGTGGCAAACTAAGTGTGACGTAGAATTTACCTGGTCTAATTTTTATAAGATTCCATGTTTAAAAGACACATATTACAAGAATGAATGAAATATTAATAGCAATCAAAAAGTTAACAAATTATTATTTTTATTTTCTAAATATCCTCGATCTCTTTATCTATTTAGTTTCCACTCTGTAGAAGGTATGAATATTAAACTATGTAAATATACAAATGATATATTATTTTTAATATAGTATTATAATTAATAATTCAATATGTTATACGTAATTCACTTATTCGAGTTTTGATGTTGAATTTTTTTATTGATAATCCATATAATATTCTAAGTTGATTTTAAAGATATTTCTTCAATAATTGTTATTGATATTTATTACTGAATTAAAGAGAAAAAATACTGTTATTTTTAGCAAGCAGAATTTTATAACTAGATTTTCATATAGAAAAATGCAAGCAAATCCATTTACAAGATACTTTCAAAGAATGATCCGTTTGATAATTAAAGTGCATTTGTAATTGATTGACATGATATAATTATACTATTTTAGTTGATATATTTTTATACATTAAAAATACTTATTAATACTATGAAATCAATAAATAAATCTCAAAAATTGAATAAATCCAAAGTGGAAATCTAATTTTAATCTGATTCATAAAATTGTTTGCTTCTTAAAAATAAGAGAGCTCAACAAATATACGGCTTATATAGTGAATTAAGCCTAGTTGTTTGATATTTTTTTTCCATTATATTAAATGTAATTAGAGAAACTAAATCGAAAGCTTTACATCTTGCCAAAGGTTGAGAGCTGTGTGAAATTAGATCTAGATTTCAGATTGAACACTCCTATGCACAGCATGGCTAACAAACATTATTAAGGATGCTACCCTAAAACGACTAGATCAGTTAAGTCAGATGAATTAATGAATACTCCTACTATGACAACCATCACAATTTCTTCAGGAAAAAGGATCAAATTATATGCTCCCATGCAGGAAAGCAAAAGAGCACAACGTTTAAAGAATGTCCCTTATGAATTGCAATATTTCTAAACCAAGTTACCTACAAAGAACTTTAAATCTAGTCATTTGATGAGTGAAGATTTGCTGAATCAGCCTGGTGAGTAGATTGATAATCAATAGAAATGGCAAATGCGATCTCACATTAATAAAATGAATAAGGCTACTACATCTTACTAAATCAAAAGGGGAGAGAAGAATGTTGTGAAATAAACTCAATCCACATTCGATTTATCGTTCATTAAACAATAAAATGAGGAGACAGTTGAAAATGAAAAATTAAAAGTATGGTTTTAATCTATATTTTTTAGAGATATCATTCATACAAAAGAGCAACGTAAAACCTAATCCGATAGTTTTCAAATATAAACAACGTAAAATAGTTATGTTGTGATCTCCAGGATAAACAAGAATGATTTAGATTGAGATTCAATTTTATGTTTATTTATCTCTTTAAATATATAATTCAACTTTTATTTTAAGTGAATTATTTTTATATTATTCGAAACTTCTGTTTCTCTTTTGAATAGGGCTTATTCAAATGGACGCCGCAATTCTTCTATTGATGTATACATAAATTTCATATTCACTCAATAAATTCCACACATATTTTTGAGTTTAAAAAGTTGAATAATTTTTGATTGTGTTTAATATTGGCTTTACTATTGTTCTAAATTTTCAATTCAAATCGTATTATTGTTTGATAATTAATGTGAGTTTGAAAAATTAGATTTATGACATATAAAGAGAACTAATGAATAATTGTAAACTTTGATATTATTATATTTAATTATGAAAAGCCTTTGTTGCTATTTTGCTGTCTCATTTACGATTTCAATAATACAGTCTATTACTTATGTTGAGGCAATGTAAATAATCAGATTAGTCTGTTGTATACTGAATTTATTTGCATTAAAAATGAATAAATATGTGAGCTAAGGAATTTTTGTACACAAAGTAATACTGTTTTTATGTGGACTCTTATCTCAACAAAATGAAAGTATTTTATAATTTGCAATGGATGATTATTTCAGTCAAATGATGTTGAATTCCAAGCATTCCATCACATTCTGGAGATTATTTAGCAGTGTAGGAGCTATGGTATTAGCATATCTTAAATATTAATACTAAGATTCAACTTAACTTTCTCTGACTATTTTAATTCCCTTAATGTACTTGGTCCCTCAATTGCCAGAAATTTATCGATAATACTGGTAGGCAAGGGAAGAAGAACAATGTTATTCTTTGAGCCCAAAACAAACTACCAGGGATTATATGCAAATCCGTTCCAAATTTGAGGAAATTAACCTCATTGCAACAAACCTAGATTAAAATAACAAAATAGATATAGACTAATTAATTCGTAAAATAGCATATAGCCAAGATAAATAATTTGTCCTACAGGAGATCAAAATATTTAATGAGTAAGTTTGGAGATTGAGGATGAATGCCATGCCAATTGGAATTTGCATAATTGGCAATTAAATTAAACCCAAATTCATGAATAATGCATTAACAAATTTAATAAAGAAAAATTGTATTGATGATAAGGGTTAAAGTCTTGAAGAGATCTATGAATTATTTATGAAGACCCTACAATTTAAGATGGTTGATTTTGCTGGATCATACGATTTACCATAATCGGCAATCCTGAAACACGAAAAATATTCACAATTAAAAATGTAATAAAATGAGCAGTTTTTTGAAGAAGAACATTATTGTCTATTTGATTTAATACAAAAATTAGAAGAAGAGCAATTTGATAGATATTTTAATAATTAGGATTAAATAATAGAATTAATTTCTACATTTGAAAGTCCCGTTAATTAAAAGCAAATATTTTTTGTATGCCATGTGCTATTTTAAGATAGACAGAATATTGATTATATGATAATTATTTAGGATTTCACTAAACAAAATGAATTATCAAAATTAGAAGAATAAAATAAATTCAAGACCAAAGTTGTATAATCATTTTCCCATGAACTTAGAACTCCTTTGAATAGTGCTACTATCTTTTTAAGATCTGCCATAGGAGATTCAAACTTGAATAAGGTTATAAAGGAACAGTATTTATAACCATGTTTGTCAGCCTTAAAATTGTAAAATCACTTAATTAATGATATCATCGACTTTAGTTAGATAAATGCAAAACTATTAGATTTGAAATTCAGTTAATTTGAGCTCTCTAAAATAATAAAAGAAATCACTGAATAATTTAAATTTTAATTCGAATTTAAATAAATTGGACTAGCTTTTGAAATTACTAAACCTATGTCTCTATTAACTCTCATAAAGACTGATTACCAAAGATTATTACAATTGCTAACCAACATAATTCAAAATGCACTTACATTCTCTGAAAAAGGATATGTGTTAGTGAATATAGACAGTTTTGAAAGAAACGAGATAAAGTTTTCTATAAAAGACGAAGGCATCGGTCTCACAAAGAAATAGCTATATTCGATAAGAGAAATCATAACCTAAGAATAATAGACAACAATTAAAACTTAAGAGTGGCAAGGATTTGGTTTGATCATATGTTAAATGCTCCTAAGATACTTGTCGCCTATAAATAGAAATAGTATCTAAATTGATTCCAATGGATAGGATTCTGGAACAACAGTTACCTTTACGATATCCAATCATATTTCTGCTTAGACCTAGGAGCAGGTTTATAATCAAAGTTCCAAAAAGATATTGCCAAGAATGAGAAGTATGCCCCATTTGAGGGCAGAGTATGGACTAATAATTTGTATCAAAGCAAAATCTCCCAGTAAGATATTGTTATCAAAAACAACAGATCCAGAGGAATGCGATTTATCTAGTTCATCAATCCGTGAAGTAGGGGACAAGGTAAGTCGGTATCATCTAAAGCATTGCTCGATTGAGATTCTGAATAGCAGGAGTCCTTCATATCTGAGTCAACAGAAAAAACTATCTGTTTCTTAAAGCAGAAGAGGAGGATCCTATTAGTTATCAGCCAATGAAACTGGTTTAAGTAATGTGTAATAGGGAGTGCCATGTTGTAATACGATTTTAAGTGTGGACGACGAAGTGTTCAATCAAAAGTCGCTGTAATTGTTGCTCAGATAGCAAGGATTTAATGTCGACATTGTACAAATATTATAATGTTAAGTTAGGTATTTAATGGGAGACAAGCCATTGAAAAGGTCATACACCCTTCGAAATGTTGTCCGACATGCACCGGTTATCGGTTTATTTTAATGGATTGCCAGATGCCTATTTTGGATGGTTGGATGACCACCAAAAGATTGAGATTTATGATGCAAAATGGATAAATCCCTACCATCCCAATCATTGGATTGACTGCTTTCACGAGCAATGAGGATGTCGAGAAGTGCAAGGAAGCTGGGATGCTGAACATTTTACATAAGCCATTGGATCTCTCAAAGTTTCAATAAATATTAGCTGAACTTCATATTATATGATTTATATAAATATTAATAATGATTACAGGCAATCTGTTCAGAAAGGTTTACCCTTTGAAATTTGGATTCTCCACTTCCTATGCTGAATTAATAGCTTCTAATAAGGCTAATAGAGTGTAAGATGTGGGAAGTTTGAAAGAATTGTTAGATTCAATTTATTAAACTAAACCATATTTACATTGCATTATCTTCAACTAAGTTGGACACCCATAGTATAGATTTTATTAAACTAGTTACTCAAAAGTGAATGAAATGTACAATGAAATTTCTAATTAATTCGTTGGTTTTAAATTCTATAGGATTAATGTTGACAATCTAGATAAGACAGCCCAATTCTTTGGAATCAAAGTACACATATTCAGCTATTGATTAGAATCCTCCAACTTCACTAATATATGGTCTAGGCTCCCCATTAGCCAAGCATGTGGGCCTGGGAGTGAAAAATCTCTAAATCAAGCTAGAGACATCATAAGCGTTAACCCATAACACTGATTTCATTCCAGGCACTGAATAATGGGAAGGTCCATAAGATTTGTGGAAGGCAAATTATGAAGATGACTAAGAGCCATTCGATTATTTTGCCCGTTGATTTCATTAGATCATGCATACAACAACATATAACACCTTTTATTATTTTTCGAATATAATGAGAATCCAAATATTCAACCAGACATTTGTATTGGGACTACAATATATCAATGAAATCCGCTGAGATTTTTCATCAAGCACTGTTAGTATAAGGGTAGTATACAAGGTTGCCATCCTTGTGACACGAGTTCGAGTCTCGTACAGTGCAATTTTTTTATTTTTAATTAATATATATATAAAATATTATCTCACTTTGGTTTTGTTGCTATTAATAAAATGCACTCCAGAAACAATGGTTAATATTTTAGCTTCTCTTGATTGAGGATCTCTGAAGCAATGTTCTCAAATTACTAAACTTTTTCTGGAGGAGCATTTTTCAAGAGTTCCAATACTTCTGGATTTGAAAATTTGGCTAGATCCTCTAAACTAAAGTTGTCGAACGGTCCTTACTATGTCCAACAATCTGATTCAGTCAAATACTATTACATATGTTTGTAAATCCTTGTAATTGGGCCATTTCGATGACTGGTTGAGTGCTCTCCAAAAATTTGGAAGGACCTTGTGGTTTCTCAAGGATTCCACTTCTAATTAAGGCTTCCTATAAAATGGTCAATGCTTTGCTGTTATTTTTGGATCCCCAAACGGTGATACCGAGTCTGCCTCCCGGTCTAAGTATACGATATGCTTCAGCCATGGCCTGTTGGGGATTTGGGATTAGATGGAAGACCAAATTGGAGAGGTATGTATCAAATGTATTATCTTGGAATTAATTTAATTCTTGGATGTTTGCCTGTTATATGGAATAGTTAATTTAATTAAAGATTTCGGAATCTTCTTAAAAAAACAATATTACTTAAATTGACATTGTCGATTTCTTCTTAGGTAAGTTGGTCGATGCTTCCCTTTTACTGTTGTGTGAGGTACTTGTGCATCCTGGCAGCTGTAATTTTGACCATTTGATTGGAGAAATCAAAAGCCACAAATCTAGCATATGGGTTCTTCTTCTCCACGATATATTGATGGAGATGTCCCCCTCCACAGCCAGCATCAATAATACTTGATAGGTTTGGATGTATATTTACGAATCTGAATCTTCGATACGGAGCATATTTAAAAGAGTGAAACAAAAGACAGATGGGTTCTTTTAGGCTGCTGTGTATCTGTGGCTAAAGGAGTCCCAAAGTTTCTGAAGATACTCAATGTTCATTATTTAAATTAATAATTGTGGAGAGAACAATAATAAAATAAAAATAACAATTTTAAGTGAATTGCAATTAGGATATTGTGAATAAATGCAACATAAGAAAAACACTAAAATAATTGCATTCAGTTATTTTAGAGTGAGTTTGAAAAATAAATATCGTTTTTGTTATAGAGATTAATTAATAAATGAAATTGGTATTAGGTTTGATCACCCTAGTGGCATTGGGCAGTTGTGCTTCTTTCTTGGAAGAACAACAACCAATGGAAAATAAAATATATAAGATCAAGTTGGACAGGACAGAATCATAAGCCAGAAAATCGTTATTCGATTTTGTCACAACCAGTCAACAATACAGGAAGAGTCCCGATGTGTTAGGCGAAGCAGATTTGGAAATGACCTAAACTAAACAGAAGGAATCAATCAAATTGTACAACTTCAAGAATACCCAATATACAGGAGAGATTGGATTAGGTGGTTAAGATAATAAATTCAAAGTATTATATTATATAACAACATAGGTTATCTTCGACACAGGATCCGCTAACATTTGGTTGAATTCAGCTAGATGCAACGATTACGGATGCAAGAATCACAAACAATATGACGGTTCAAAGAGTCCTACCTATGAACACTTAGGTTATGATTTGGACGTCGAATTCGGAACTGGAGAATTGATGGGAGAAGTACTAATTTGCATAAGAAAACATAGATTAATGCTGACACAGCCTATGTCGGAGGAGTCTCTATAGCCAAATAGGAATTTGCAGAGATTGTCAGAGAAAATGGCGATGTCTTCGCATAAGCAGGTTTTGATGGCATTGTTGGATTAGCATATCCAGAAATGGCCGCTTACAATTTCAACCCATTATTTGATAATATCATTAAATAGAAATTGTTGGACAGAAATGTGTTTTCTTTCTACTTTTCGAGATAAGAAGGTTCTAGATCATCCGAATTAACCTTGGGTGGTTGGGACACTGAGCATTTCACTGGAGATTTGCATTTCCACAATGTAGCCAACAAATATTATTGGTTATTGGATGCAGACAACATTTTGGTCAATGGAAAGGACTTGGGACTTTGCAAACATGGCTGCAAAGTAGTTGCAGATACTGGTACTTCATTATTAACTGGTCCATCAGATGACTTATATGATTTACTAGGTATTTCTCTATAATCTATATTTAAGACACCTTGAATATTGATGAAAATTGCAGCAACATCAAAGAATTGCCAAAATTAACATTCGTTTTAGATGGTGTCAATTATGATTTGGATGCCAATGATTACGTTATGAAAATAGATTCAGAAGGAAATGAAGTAAACAATTAAAATAGTAGTTTAGGTTGCTTATGATACTTTCGCAAGTACTGATAGTTTTGTAGAAATGGGAGCAAATTGCTAATGTGTTGGTTCATTCATGCCTTTAGATATCCCATCACCTTAAGGGCCAGCTTGGATTTTGGGTGATACTTTCCTTAGCAAATTTTATTCCGTTTACGATAGAGACAACGACAGAGTTGGTTTTGCCAGAGCAAAATGATTCATATTAATATCACACATAATATACACACCTTAAGAATAATTATTGTAACATTTGAATAATTCCTTATTATAATATCATCATGCGTACTTTGGGCTCTGTCCTGGCTTTTGCAATTATCCTACTTATTACTATTGCAATTAGGGCTAAACATTTCCTGTTGATGCTGGGTAGACTTATTACCATCCAGTTGAGTACTACTATGTTGTCGTAGTAACCTATCCAACTCCTGGTTAGACATATCCAGTTGCTGGCAAATAGCCTGAACTCTAGGTCACCTAACCATAGGTTGTGATCGGAGCTCCATAGGTGGTTGTGGCATAGGGTTGTGGGACAAATTAAGAGGTTGTTACAGGAGCTGTCACGTATTGACTCTAAGTGGTTGGGACGAATTGGGTGGTGGCTTGAGCATATTGAACTGGCTACACAGTGGTCTAAGCATATTGAATTGGTTGTGTGTAGGTCTACTAGGCATATTGGATTGGGGCAGCTACTAAAATTAATTTAAATAAAATTTATTTACCTTAATACTATTGGGTTGTCTGGATTTATTAATAATCAACTGGGGCTTATATTACACTTTGTTTTGTCACTGCTTGGTACTCTGTTCTCTCCTTTATTGTCTCTACTGGTACGTATTCTGCGTAATTCATAACAATAATCAAATACCAATGTATTTCTCTTAGATCACTTAAGGGATGTGTTCAGTCACATATTCCACTGCATAATAGTCAGTAATTTTCCTCTCTCTTGGCACATACTCGACCACCTCTTGCATCACATACTCTGTCACTTCCTTTGTGTAGGGAATATATTCAATCCTAGATTCCCCTTTGATTGTCTAATTCATTATAATTCAATATTACATTTCCTTAAGTGACAACTGGGGCACTTGATTACACCAATCCTTATTGAGGATACACTGGCTATTACAAATATTGGGGATTTGTAATTAATCCTGTCTGTTAAAGTGGAATTGGTTAGCCCAAAACTCCTGGCTGAATTTAAGAGCTTGCAGGAACCCAGTTTTGTTATGGCAAGTATGCTTCTGGAACCTATTATTAGGCAGTAGGAGGCAATTATGATGGTGTTGCCTTCTGAGCTGGAAGTTAAGATGGACGAGGATTGTTCATTAAATCTTAATTAATTTATTTTTAATTATTCAACAACTGAGCATTTTCGAATATAAATTATCTAGATCTCCTCATTAATATAAGTATCTCACATTAAATTGCATCTCTAAAATCTATCCTTCCCTCACCAATCATTATAATTTTGTAAATTTTCAATCTCGATTGTCAAATTTCACATTATTAATTAAATAACACACACACACACCAATCACTTACATCTTCATTATATGAATCAAGATATCAATCAAAAATATGTTAGATATTATAATTAAAATTCATAAAATAATTATTGTAGTCATTGTTCAAAATATATAAACCCTGGAGTGTATACTAATTGCTAAAATGAAGGCATCTCAGCCATCAAAACCATATTTAAATTTAAATGATCGTTAAACAACTTTTTTATATGTTCATCTGGCTTTTTATTTACCACAACCTCTTTAATTTCATAGTTAAATCTTTGTTTCAGCTACTAAATCAATGTTGTAAAATTGTAAATCATATGACTATGAATCTCATTGTAAAACTCTTGGCAAAAAGAATTTATAATCTCCTCATTCAGTTCACATCTGTAATCGTAATTTCCTAATTTATATCTATTCTTTTTGTATAAGGTATCATTTAATTGTTTAAAGTAAGGTAACATATTTGTATCAAAGCACAAGGGTAATTTATTAATCGGTTAAGTGTACGTAAATTGTTCCACCCTTTAAAAGATAGGTACCTTTTTGAATTTGTGTAATTATAAATATTTATAGAATTTGTCTTGGCAATCCAAATAGTTCAAAGGGTATCCTATTCCTATTATAAATGGATTCTCATTCGGCAATTTTAGTATTATATTTGTAAAATTATGTTTTTATATATATAACATTAATTTTAATGAGAACTGTCTATTACTAATTCTTAACAGTTTTCAATAATATCATTACAATCATCGATCCCTACAAGAAGTATATGATAATAGCTTGATCATTATATGAACATATAAATTATTATGATAAATGATATCTATACCGAAAGATATAAGATTCTTGATAGAATTACAAGTCAATTTACTATTGAGATGTGTTTAATACGATGAGTAAGAGTGAGTTTGTACTAGCTTACAAGAAATGAGAGTGAATTGCATTAATTTCATCTCTCATATATTAAATAGAGAATTTTTCACCTGGCTTTGAATGAAGAAAAATTAATAAATCATTCAATATATTATTCTAAAATTCCTTAATTCCATATTGCTTTGACCACAGTATCATTATTAGTTATAAATTCACCTTCTCCATGTATCATGCCATCATCAAATTGACCAACATATTTTTCCTAATTTGACAGAACCAATGTGCCTTATCCGTGCATTTTGCCTCCTTCAAACTTACCTAATTTGATAGTCATACATAATACCTTCATAAAACTCCCATCCATTTCCAATATTTGTCATATTATTGTAATCATAAGTGCCAGATATTATTTCGACTTACAAATTTTTTAATTTTCCTTCTCCCTCATAGAAATTTTCTTTCCAATAACCAGCATACACTTCCTAGCCATCACTATCTGTAAGGATTCCAAATCCGCTTCTAGTTTAAGGAGGGAATCCTTGTCCTCTATAAATGTAGCCATCTTCATATTGTAAGGCCAACTCTGAAACATAATAAGAAGATCATACCTTCTAGTTCTCCATCTCCCTCTTCATATTGTTCTTGGTCCTTTGGAGGGGTTGGCTGTTTCATTTGACTTTCAATCTATTTTTAAACTTGTTTGTTTGGTGTAATGTTAGGTTAGACTTGTTGTTGATTTGGCTATTACTACAGAATTTACTGTTATTTGGGTTGTTATTATTGGGGGTTTTGGATTTAGCCAGGTTGTGGTTTCTATTGTGGTTAAGGCAAAGAGGCAGATTCTAGAACGGTTAAAAGATTCAATACTTTGCTAGGGCTAATATGATTATTGAGCGTTGGCTTTTTGAATTCTCTCCATCACCTATTCGTATGTGAAATACCCAGGTCTTGTGGGTGATTACAATTACTATTGTTGAGGTGGTTTATTTTATGGCTGTTATTATTAAGATTGCATGGGATGATTTCTTGCAGGCGATGCAAATCCTCTGACAGGACTCTGAAAATTCTTGTTGGGTGATTGAATCGCTTAGCTTGCCATAGGGTGAGCAGGTGGAGGAACATTGCCTCTAGGAATTTGAAATCCATTGTAGGAGGAATAGAGGGGTTGTTGTGGATAGCTTTGTGGCACGTAAGGTGGGTAGTATTAGGGTCTGTATGGCAAGGTTTAAGGGGGATAGGCTTGACGAGGATAATATTAGGGTCTGGTGTATGGATAATACATTAAAATAAAATTTTAAAATATATATCTTTCTTATTTTTGCTTATAATCAATTAAAACATCCAATTTAACATTTTATTGCTTATATATAATTTTCTGAAATTCAATCCCACCCCTTCAGTCTAAATATGTGATGTACCCAAAAAGACACTCATTATTTGTAGTCTACAACTTATTTATATTTCATTAAGAAATTAAAGGGCATTTAATTTTTTAATAATATCGTTAATTTTAACATGTACAGAAGATAAAACATAACAAGGAAACAAATTGATCATTACAGCTATTTACTAAACGAAGAGATAGGAAGAGGTTTTAGCAGCAAGGTTTATAAGGGAAAAGACGATGTTTCCCAAGAACTAGTTGCTGTCAAGGTGATCGATATGAAAATGATCAAATAATCAATTCACTCTTAACTATTGAAAAATGAAATCAACGCTCTTCGTTCCTTCAATAGCAAACACATAATGAAATTGCACGATGTCTTTTAAACCCAAAACAACACTTATATCATCACAGAATATTGTGACTCTGGGGATCTCAATAATTACATTCGCAAAAGAGGGAGACTAGATGAATAGGAAGCAACAAAAATACTCTAATGCGTAGTCTCAGCCATGGTGGAAATGAATAAAAAAGGTTTCATTCACAGAGACATCAAACCTGCCAACATCTTAATTGATCATTCAGTACCAAAACTAGCTGATTTTGGCTTTGCTGTTCCCCTTCATGAAGCTAGAGTCCAAGGCAGAAACTTCAATGTCGGAACTCCACTTTATATGAGTCCGCAGGCTTTGAGACAGCAAGGACACACAGAACAAGGAGATGTCTGGGCCATTGGAGTTGTATTTTACGAAATGCTTTTTGGAAGAACCCCATTCAATGGGCAATCAGAGGCTGCCTTAATTTCAAATATCATGAATCAACCACTCCATCTCCCATCTCATCCATAGATCTCTTCTGCTGCCAAAGATTTTATCAGATAATGTTTAACTGTCGATGATGCCAGGAGAATGCGAGTGCGTGATATGGCTAACCATCAATTGATGAGGCAATCGACTGCCCCTTCTTAACCTCAATAACAAATACAACACCCACGACAATTACAATAGAGACAAGCTATCACTCCTCCTCCAGTTGAATAATAACAACAAAGAGTTAAAAGATCACTTAGTTAAGGGGGAAAACAAGATATCAGATATCGAGAAAACAAGGAAAACTATTATTAGCAATAAAATCAACAACTACCCCAGAAACCTGCTTAGGTTGATAATAATAGACAACCATTATAACCACAATAATAGAATGTCTAAAGATCTACTAGTTAACAATAGGTTCAAAAGCATTATATTAAATAAAAAACATAGCCGGCTGAAGACATCAAACCTTTGGGAATATCAATGGAGTGCAAAGTTAACAACGATATTTTATTTACTTAAGTTAATTTTTGTAGGTTCCTATATAAGTTTTCCTCAAGTCTGCTCTAGTGTAAAGTAATTAGCACTGAATTAAAAGATAAATTGCTCTTTCTAATGGGTAAGAACATTGCAATTAAAATTACTAAACTCAATCTAATTACAGATAAGGAAAACAACTAGCCAAATGTCCTACAATTAGAGGATTTCCCCACTTATAAGAAGACAGATTCCTATCATAAATTTTCTTAAGCAATCATCGAATACAACGAAAAATATATGAAGTATTTTGATAAACTCCTCAAACTATGCAATTCTAAATCAGGTATTTTTATAGTAATCATATTTAGAATTACAAAAGGACACTACCTTTGTCTGTCTTTTAAATTAGGATTTTACAGAAACAGAGACATTTTATAGAATCACTTAACAATATATCAAATAAAGTTTGACTGAAATCAAAAATTATTTTAGATCGTAAAACCTGTAAAACATTAATCTCGATTCTCCAATCACAGAAGAGGTAAATAACTAACTAACTAATGTAGATTCAATTGCCAGGATTGATGTTATAAGGACTTAGCAATTATTACCTTTTGCTCCAAAAAGCAATTGAATACTTAAAGGATTATAAGGGGTTTGTTAGAAGTACTCATACGGAATTAATGACTGATAAATCTTCCGAGGCTCTTACTTATGGGATACTAGAATAATTAATGGTTAGATTGCTATGATAGTTAAAGTTATAATAATAAATATTAATTTCTTTTTGTAATTTTAGAGATCGTTTGAATAAAACTGTTTAAAAGTTAGTTTAGTTACCATTTCGATTGCAATTTGCTCATATTTATTTATTCAAATTGAAAAAAACACAGATAAAATTATTTTATTATGATAATTGATATTAATATATCTTATATTTATATCACAAGGTAAATTTGACATGCTCACCTTTTCATTCTTTATCAATATTTTAGGGCTTTGAAGAAGGGTAGATAGGAACTTTTGTATAACCCTTCAATCCATATCCATAGTCTTTACTAGCTAAGCAATTACGATAATCTAACTTGTCACAAATTCATTGTTCATCATCTCGTTTAATTAGTATCTATTTTTTAATTCGACAACTTATTTATATGATGCATCTGAATATGTATAGTCTTTAAATTTCGGTCTGTCGTATAAGCCTACAAATTATGATTCAAATTACTAAATTTAACATCCATATTATATTGAGGAATATAATATTCTTTGCTACCAAGCACATTATTTCGTACATATAATCTAAATATATTTTAACGTACTTTCTTTATTATTCTCTTTCAGTGTTCAATTTGTTAGCCAACTAAGTTTATTAATTTACATTGTTTTGTAATCTCTGATAATATTCATTTGCATCAGCTCTATTAGAATTAGTTTCATAATTTTATGATTTTCTGGAATTATGTTTGGAACTCAGTTGAGGTTAATCCTATTGATAATTCTAATCCGCTTCTGATTTTTTGGTATTTTGATTTTGTTATTGCTAGTGTTATAAGAGACTTGATCTTTAAAATTGATCGATGGAATCCTCAACTAAATTTTCATTACGTTATGAGTGTCTCACTTTTTCTGGATTTACTGATTTGGATTGTAACAATTATGGTGAGCTCTTAAATTATTATTACATTCCATTCCCAAACTACTGTTATTGGGCGTATTGGAAGTCAGAAAATAATGGATTCCTCATTTTTATATCACTGGAAGTTGTCTTCAATTCTATTTATCATTTATATTAAATACTTTCATTGCTAAGATAGGCTTATATAAATTTGTCTGCTCCCACATTTCTCTCCTTTTTCAATACTCTTGGTCTAGTTCCTTAAGATGAATTTCAAAAATTACCTGGCAATTCTCCCAACTCCATCGAATAAACAGGTTCTTTCATTGATAAATAAATATTAATTAATTTAAATCGATTTCATATTATTTCTAACTTGATTATCAGTTTGAATCTTAGTCTTGATTTCGCTTTCAGAAATTAATCACTTAACTTAATGGAATCATAAATAGAGAATAAAATAAAAGAATAGTTTATATATATATAATTAAATCAAATAGAGCAAATAAATTTTATTTATAATTACAAATGGGAAATCAAGTGTATTTTGCTAAAACAATGGATGCTTCAATTTTTAATCAACACACACCTTTGAACACATAAATTCAACATCTTGGTGGACAATTTTACCAGCACCTTGAAAGAGTTGAACTGTATAAGCTAAAAAATGAAGTAACAAAATTCCCAACAATATTTGAAAAAAGAATAGCTAAATCTGAATAAGAGGGATAATTACTCAATCTTCATAATTAAGCCTAAAGCTTATATCATCCAAATTTAATTAAATATTATGGATTCTGTATTGAATCCCAAATTACCACTAATTTGATCATTAGTAAATGGTATTATTAAGCACTTTATAAGACATCTAAAAATATTTGTGCTCATCACTTTTAATATAAATCATTGATCCCAGAAAAAGACTTATGGAAGGTATTAATATTAAATCATATTTAAATAGCTCCTATCTCAAATAATTCAAGGACTTCAATTCTTAGAGAACAAACAGCAATGGCATCTGCAAATCCAACCTGATGCCATCTATTTAGATGATAACATGCAAGTTAGATTGATTCCAATGGGAGTGTTAAGAATGATGAGTGGATATTCTCTTGTCCTTAACAAATAAGGGTAGGCACTGCTTTCTCCAGAATTAATTGAACAATTAAGACTAAACAATATCAATCCTGTTCACAATCCTTCTAAATCAGATGTCTTTTCTTTAGGTATGACTATGTTAGAATTGATGACACTCAAAAGTAGTTTTGATTGCTATTCCTTTGATTCTAATCCCCCTTAATTACACGATCGAATAATTGAAGAACGTTTGTAAGAATCAATTATGAATGGTTATTCTGAAGATTTAATCAAGTTAACCAAAAACATGCTCCACAGAGATATGAATTATCGAATTGGAATCAAAGATGTTTTAGTACATAATTATGATATATTCTTAGAATTCTAAAGAATTAAACCAAAATTAACATAATCAAAGTGACAATTTTTCTCCTTTGAAACAAACAATCAATATGAATCCGAGATAATAGAACATTATTTAGCAGGACTAAAAACCCTTAATATAGCCTTCTATTCCTGCAATAGTAGAATAGCAAATTCCTCCCTAAAATCAAATTTCTAGCTTCAATCCTCATCTTCAATTAGATAGCATTTCCCATTTTTAACAATCATACTCTTTTAGAGAAAAAACAGATGAAGAATTGCTTTTAAGAGAATAACAAATAAATAGATAATTAGAATAGTAATTAAAATAATAGCAATTACTATTATAATAATAATATTAATAACAATAAAAATAATAGCAAATCATTGAAGAATAGTAGAGACAATTATTTTCACTTTAATAGCAAATTAAATAGATTGCTAATCAATTAGAAGAAAGCCAAATAAAACCTACTGAAATATTAAGTTCTTAAAATTAACAAGACAATCTCAATTATTAAATCAACTTGCTCCCAACTCCTCCAATCACTTACGCAAGCCCAATCAAGCACACCTTAAATGATTTTACAGAAAATATTGAGATTCAAAACAGAGTGAACTAGGTCTTAGCTCAATCAAGATAAGCATTAAGTAGATATTAAAATTGATTAATTATAAAATAATTGAACAAATTTACTATTGTATAATTATGAGTTAGTAATCAAACTCTTATTCTTGAGCATTCAACATCTCAAATTCATAGTCATAGATAGAATAAGAAAAAAAGTTAAATATTTTCATACATTCTGTATACTTTATAAAACTATGAACTTTATATAAATGGTTGTTTTAACAACATTTATATTTCATATTCTTCTTTCAAAATATAATTTACCTATCATCGTATAGTCAACAATACTACGTAAATAGTTAATTTAATTTATGAATTCTCATGTTTAAAGTGATCAAGAAGTTCTTATTAAGTTAAAATGAAAAAAAAATATAAACAAATAAAATTAATAGAATATAAAAACATAGTGACTAAATTAGTGAAAATAATTTTGTTATAAAATTCGTAAAAATCATTTAGAATCTATAATTATTTATATTTTGATAAAACTGAAAAAATTTTAAAAATTCACTTATATTTCTCTACAATTTTGGATATAATAATAAAAAAATTTTGTTGATGTAGTGGTTTCAAATAATATTTTGGTGAATTAAGTATTATATTATCATTTAGGTTTGAATTCATTCACAAGAAGAAAATATTAAATTGTGAAAAATATTTATACTCAATAGTAATAATAATTGTTCCACACTAATTTACTCGTTATTCCACTAATAATTTAATACATAATAAAATACATTTAAGAATACTGAAGATAATAATTCTGTATCCTAAGAACAAGGAATAGCTATTTAACTCTTTGGAAAATTATCTTGAATATTAATTAGTCAGTTTTATATGGGAAAATTTTATTTGATAATTGTTGAACTCACCCTCCAATTGTCATATCAGTATTTTTATTTTTGATAAACTCAAATGAATTTGGATAATAACAATGCTCTATTCCTCTTGGTACTATCTTATTGAAATGAATTTTTATTGCATATTATTTTTAATTCAACACTAATAAAGTTTTTATTTTTAATTTAAAAATGAATAAAAAAAAAATACTCACAATGCATTTAATACTTTGAACCTCTCCACATTTTATCATTATTCGATTATAGATATGTATATGGATGCCAGTTCTACACGTTTAAGTATATAAAAATATTTATATACAAGTTTGAGTTTAAATGAAAAACTTTTTATTATATGGTAAAATGTTAAGAAAATATTAAGCACATTAAATATCATGTGCAAACACATTAAGCCAGGTTAGAAAATCAAAGCTAATTAAGATTGTAAACTATGACTGTTAATATTATAAATTGAGAAGAGTTGTTGATTAAGTAATAAGTACATTATTTTATTGATAAATAATTTTAATATTAATTTATATTTGAAAAACGGAATTACCAATTTAAAAAAATAATTAATTTTTAGGAAAAAAATTCGTTTTTCTAAGGTTTGTGGTTCAAATAGCGATTATTTTAATAAAAAAAAGTATTAATAAATGAAATCTATAGTTCTTTTAGTGTTGGTTGCCACAGCATTTGCCACAAACTTGGCTGCTTTCGAAAAACTCGAAAAATCCAAGCTCGGAAAGACATTGTTGAACACAATCGCCATCTAAATGCAAACAGGTGAGCCATTGGAAAGAATTTTCTCCACACTCTATGATTTGGAAGAGAGATATCAAAATGACTAAAGAGAAGATGATGCCGAAAACAAGGCCTTCTAAGGAGTTTGCGATGCTGATCTTGCAGGTCTTAACCAAGAAATCGCCAACCTTGAATAAAGAGACACAGAATTATAAGCCAAACTCGACGAACTCCAACCAGTCCATGACTAAAAGGTCGGATAAAGAGTTGCCAAGTTGGCTGAAAAGACCCTCCTCTAATAAGTTATCGATGAGGCCTAAGCCAAGAGATAAGAATAAAACGACGAATTCGAAGCTTAAAGAGATGAACTCTCATTCGTTTCAGGTGTTCTCGCTGAAGCCAGAAGACTCTTCACAGATAACTTATAAGCCCCAGCTTTCTTATAAAAGGGACAAAGTGAAGCCGTTCACTATACCCCATAAGTGTTCGCCTAAGTTGCCACTCACTTGAATGCTGCTGCTCACAAGGCTGGATAAATGAAACACATCAGAACTTTCGGAAAAGCCATCAAACTTATGGCTACATTGGCTGTCAAATCCTAATAATATGCCAATCAAGAATTAACAGGAAGAATCATCCAATTGATCGATGACTTATAAAACCAATTGAACTAAGCCTTCGATTTAGCCAGAAAGACTGAAGATTCCAGAAGATAAGCCTATGAAGCCTACAGTGCTCTCTTGAACAGAGACATGAACAAGCTTAACTCAGCACTCGCCAACTTAGAAGCTGAAATCTAATCATTGGCTGATTAACTTGCTGCCACTCACAGCTCATAAGATGACAACGCTGCCAGACTTGAAGCCAAGACCCAATAAAGAGATGACAGAAGAGCTGAATGCTAATAAGCTGCTTATGAATACTAATAAAGAAGAGCCGCAAGAGATGGAGACAGATAAACCGTTTCTGACTTGATCGGACATTTGAACACCAACATGAGAGACTTGAAAGAATACATTGCCATGAGAGTTGCTGCTGGTGATACTGATTTAAGCTAATGATCAGATTGATTTATTCAAAAAAATTTTAACAATTTCACAAATTTTAATTCCAATAATTATAACTGTTTTATAGAATGTTTGTTTAAATTAATATCAAGCATTCAAAATGCCAAATTCAACATTAAACCAGAGAATTCTTAGAATGTTATCTCTTCTTTGTCATTTACTTCATGCATGATTTACTTCCAAATTTCATCAGAAACTAATCCATTTCCAAAAATTTATTTCAATTCATCTATATTTATTGAACCATTCCCATCCTATCATAAGTTTCTATTATACTTTATCAATAGCCTTAAATGTTTTCGCTAACCTATCTTGAGATAATAGTTTTGACCTATTAATCGTTGCAGCTACAAATTCAGAATAATCAATAGTTCCTGAATTGTTTTGATCAATTTCTCTCATTATCCTATCAACTTCATCTATTGCTTATTATTCACTCATAACCTTTCTTAATCCAATAAGCAGTTCTTATCTACTTAACTAACCATCATTGTTAGAGTCTAGGGCTTTAAAAGTTCTCAATAATTCTGATTTATCTTCCTAAGATGAAAATTAATTCACTATGTACTAATATATTGCAGATTAGAGTTATTTAGTTGACTAAGCATAAAATTAAATATATTTTTTACTTTAAAGGTTTTCATGTTCTTTATAGCCCTGTCAATTTAAGGCAATTGGGTTTAGGAATCATCACTTTATTTTGAAATCCAAGGATGGTTAAGTGCTTATTCAGCAGTATACCTTTTAATAGGATCGATTTCCATCAACTTAGAAATAAAATCCTTTGCTTCTTCTGTAATAATGTCCCATTCTTCTGACTTAAATTCATATTTTCCTTATTCTACTTTTTCGAAAATCTTAGCATCAGTTTTTCCATTAAATGGAGGATAACCGCATAATAAAATATATGCCAAAACTCCACATGACCAGATATCACATTTTTCATTATATTTTTTTTTTAAGACTTCGGGCGCTATATAATAGGGCTAAAGAGAAAAAAAAAGAGTTACCGTTCCTATTTTTTAATTCATCTTTTTATGAGGCTCGAATATCCTTGATGTTCCGAAGTCTATAATTTTAATCGTTCCCTTTTTATCTTTGCTTTCAAACACTATATTTTCTGGTTTAATATCTCTATGCACAATTTTATGTTGATGACAATAATTTAAGCCCAACAACACTTATTTGATTAATTTTGCTGCATCCTTCTCTGAAAAATGTTGAAATTCCACTATGGCATCGAATAACTCACCACCAGTATATAACTCAGTCACAATGAAAATTTATTCAGAATTTTAATATATCTCTAAAATTTTTACTATATTCGGGTGATCCTAAATTAAATGTTTCATACCAACTATTTAAGTATTTCTGCTTCATGCAAGACTCTAGAAACCTCTTCGTTTGTGGCTTCTGATTTAGAAATGATTTTTATTGCTCTTGTAATACCCAACACCTTGTGTACGCCTTTACGCACCTCAGCATACGAACCTGCGATTAATATAACTTTACCGCTTCCTAAAGGAGGAGAGAGTAATTTATAAACATCATGAATAGATTAACTTTAATGAGTGTTCACAGAATCAAGCAATTGAACTTAAATTTTTTCTTTTGCTTCCAATTCTGCCTAATTTGGATTTGAAAGTGATGATTCTTATGTTTAAGGTTAATTTTATGGTTATTGATTAAGTTCTCTTAGATTATCTTCTGAGTGTTTTTATTTTGGTTTCTCAATACACAATTGGCCCATTTAATTAATTATAATTTTTACAATTGAAAACATCTTTAACGTATGAATAAGAAGATAAGATATCTTACAATTTAATTAATATATTAATATATCTTATAAGTCAAATGAAGATAATATTGATGTAAGTTAACTTATTTAATTTTTTGTAATATAAAATCTCTTTTCGATATTCAATTAAATTTATAAATAAAATTAAACTTAGAACCTTTTTTTAAAATCATTCCTAACATAATGTATTCATCCAAATATATTCACAGAAGAAGATAATTGATTTTTAAAGTGCTGAAAAAAAGAAATCCATTTTAAAATATGATTAGGTTTGGTTAAATATGCAATAAGTAATATTCTTAATTCAAGCCATCTTAATTATAGTTTATGATGTAACTACAAATTTATTTAATTCTAGATTAGAAACAGATTATTTTCTACTTATTTACAACTTTCTGATTCTGGCAGTAATAAATTGTAAGATTTTTGATTTAGGATCATTAAAATGGTTAAATTAGGAAATTCCAATAAATCTCTTAAAAAGTTACTCATCTCATTGTAAAATTCTAATGTAATTGCCATTACCTATCTGTCTTATTTAATAAAGATTAAAGCAGAAGAGGTATTCTAATAATTAACAAAGAGTAACAGATAATTGAATTTCCAATTAGTTGATATATTTCTTAATTAGAGGATGAAAAGATGTTTCTTTATAAATTTGATTATTCTAATTGAATAATTTTTATATAATGATAAACTAAGAGGCGATTAAATAAAATTGTAGTTTAATTGTCAAAGGAGAAACTCAAGATAAAGGTAATCTATACTTAGGTAAATTTCTATTATTTTTAGGAAATCTAAATTCAATCGAAGAGGAGAATCTAAAATCAAAATCTATAAAAGCTGTAATCACTGCTGCAAGAGGGGTTAATACAACAATCAAAAATGTAAATCATTATGTTATTGAAGCAGATGACGATGAAAATTTCTAAATAAGTAAAAAATTCAAATAAACTATAGTACAACACTTTTAAAAAGCAATCAAATTTATTGAATAGAATTTAAAATCAACAAATGTCTTGGTTCATTGTTTTGCTGGAGTATCTCGATCTGCAACAATAGTTTGTGCTTATCTAATGAAAATTGAAAAGTGAAATTAACCATATATTAAAGAAAAGATAGTGATACCATACTTGAAAAAATGAAAGCAATAAGACACCAAGTGTATCCGAATGAAGGATTTAGAAATTAACTAAAACTATTTGAGAAGAAAATATTGTGATAATCATAAAATATTATATTCTTTAATAAAGTGATTGAAATTATTTTAGTATATTCTGCATAATAGTTTAAGTAACGGTTCAAAGCTGCTCTAATTCTTTTTTATAATTTCATGAAGGAGTAATGGATATTGGTTTGATTAGTTTAATATTATTTTTTATAAGAATAAAGTATGAATAAATATTATGAGTTTTCTAAATCTAAGGATGAATCAAGATTATCTATTGACTCTTAGGAACTACTAAGATAAGTGGAAAATAAAATAAACTAAGAATAATCACCAACCTTTATCTCGCCCTAAAAATAATAATAATTAAAGTATGCTGATCACTTTGATTAAAAAGAGCAAATAGATTATTTGTCATTTAAGGAATAGGCAATAATAAAACGGTTGTTTAATTTGCGAGATGATTACAAACAATTCCTAAAAAACGTGTAATCTAATTAAGAACAATTGATGTAATCTATTCGGGAGGTAATGAAAAAAGTTACGGAAAAAGGGAATCGGCATTTATAAGACCAAGAACAGGAACTAAGGTTATAATTGCAAGAAATTCAAAAAAATAAGGAGCTGATCAATTCATATTCTAACTGTCAAATTATATAATCACCTTTAAAATAAAAAAGCCACTTCTTCTCAGAAATAACCAACAAGATTTCTGAACTAAATAGTTAGATCCTTGAATTTTTTGATCAAGACAATTCAATACAATCGAGTAGGTATTAGAAAAAACTAAATTTCTCAAATTATAAAGAATTGAGTTCTAAAAAGAAGTACAAGGAATCGCCCAGTCCATTCAAAGAGATTGATAGAGTATTATAGTTGAAAACATCCTCAAGCAAAACTTAACTTTAAGGTAAAACCTCACCTTAGGACCTAAATTAATTTATTGAAGTGCTTAAACTTAAAATTAATAATACTAAAAATTACAATTTGTTATAGAGTAGACCAAATATCTCAGGCAATTTTTTGTAAAGCAAATTAAATAGTAACTCAAAAAGGATTTCGATTGAAGAATAGCTCTAATCCTAATACAAAACATTTTTTCAATCTGTATTTTGAAATTATAATTTTATACATACCATTAAAATAGATTTGCATAAACCTTCTTAATTTTGTTATAAATTAAAATAGAATGGTCAAAGTCTAATAAGGATGAGCAAGTGTGATTACAATAGAATTGCTTGGTTTCATAAATAGAAGAGAAATCCAATAAGTTTCTACTTTCCACTTTAACAAAATTATCAATTTCAGTTTATTATTTTATTTCAAGTATTAATAATATTCATAATCCAATATTAATTGTAAGTTCTCGGAAGATGTATTCTATATTTATATTCAGATTACAAGTTGAGAGATGATGAAAATACTAGCATTTTGATTGAAGTTGATGTATAAGATTATTTAATTTAATATCATAAAGTATTCTTAACGTAATATAGTTTATAAAAAAATTTCTGTATTCGCCAAATGAGTCAATTCGAAACAAATTCTTAAAGTTAAATTCCATTCCAGGAAAGAAGCAAGCCTAATTCTAATCGCCAATTAGGAGTATCCAATTTCTCAAATGGTCAAAATCTAAAAACCTTTGATCAAAATGAGTAATTCCATTATATGTAACCTTAGGTTTATTCCGACAAGATAATCTCAAACTAATAAGTAAGCTATTTAAGGATCTAGTTACGGATAATAATAGAATAGTCCTCAAGTTTTCCAATATCCATAATTCAGTTATCCTGCGATGGGATAGCAAACCATGAAAGATCAAGAACATGAAGAATAGATACAAAGATTAACGAAAGAAAACGAAACATTAAGGTACGCTAGTTACAGTAATTAGATATTAGTGGAGAACCATGGAATAGGAAAACTAAAAGTTGAAAAACGATAAGTATAAAATTTTCGTATAATAGTAATCAATTCAGTAATAGAGACAAGAGTTATAATGCAGAAATCCAAGGATTGCAGTATGATTAAATGAATATTTTAGGGATCAAATATAGCAATTAAAAACTGAAAATAAGAGATTAATGAATACTATTTAAGAAGATCAATATTAGCTTTTAGATTTATAAAAATTAAAGAAGCAAGTAGAATTAAACAAAGGACTTGAAAATGAGATATCTGATCTTGAATAATAGCTTTCAATGGCTAACAAGCAACTCTAAGAACAAAAACGATTAAATTCTTTTTCTGAAGGCGAGAAATAAACTTAAAAAGAAACAATAGAAAAGTTGAAACAATAGGTCAAAGATTTAACCTAAAATAACGAAGGTCAGAGTTCTAAGAATGAATCGCTATTAAATGATAACAGAAAGATGAAATAAGCTTTAGACATGATTAATAAGGATTTGACAAATGAATAGGAATAAAACAAATTGTTAATCTAAAAAATCAATCAATTAAATTAGGGATCTAAAGATTAGATTAATAATCTTTAAACAAATCTTACCAATCTCAATTATTAGAATGAGTAATTAAAAAATTAAGTGGGTTTACTCCAATAAAAAGAAAAAGAATTGTAAAATGCGTAGAATTTAAATCTATAAAATGAAGGGAAGTTAAGACAGATGCAATAGCAAATTTCTGATTGTAAGTTATATTTAAATTTTAGAATAAAGATAAATTGAACAATTCACAATGACAGTATAAGCAGGAAAGAATGAATATTCAAAGCTGGCAACAAAATGTTAATCCTAAGAACAAGATATTTGGAAGATGAAAGAGTAAATCAACTAATTAACTAACCAAAATCAAATTTTACAAAATAAGTGTTATCAACTTGAGAGAACTATTGATGATAGTTTATCAAAATCATAAATATAGTCAGCTGATTTGAAAGGAAGTCTTGATAAATGGAAAAACTATGGTTTATAACTTGAATAAGAAATTAAGAAAAGAGAAATGGCTTTAGTACAATTAGAAATTCAATATGAACATATGCAAAGTCAATTAAAAGCTTCTTAAGATAATGAAGTTCAACTCAGAAACGAAAGAGTGGCTACAATATAAAAAATGAAAGAAATGCATGATGACTTACTTCTGTATGAAAAAAAATGTGATTAATTGGAAGGAGGTAAGCTTATTAAGATTTTTAGAAATTTAACTATTGTAAGAGTAAAACAAATGTAGCCAATAAAATCAAGATAGATTAGAGTAAGACAGGCAATAGTTAAATTTTGAAGTGAAAAATTTGATGGAGGAATTACTCAGAACATAAAATTAAAATGATTTAAAATACAGAGACTACGATAATTACTAAATGAAAAATGACTCCAGTCAAAATTACAAAGATAGAGTATATTAGAATTTACAATAATAGAACAACATGTTCTAAGATAAAAATAATTAATTCGTAAATGATTCACCTAAGAAAAAGGTATTTCTGTTTCATTACTTTTTAGGAACAATTATATTAAATAGAACCTAGATTGAGGAATTTAGAGGGTGATATTCCGAATCCCTAATTTAACTAAACTGTTAAACAACAATTTTAATGGAACTAAGAAGCACCTATCAATTAGATAGAATTTACTGAAAATAGCCAAATTTATTCAGGAATTAACCAACCTTATACTAATCATTCTGGATATTTGAGCCCTAAATAAAATAATTATGGTGTACAATAGGCATAATAGCATAAACCTACAGAAGTGTAAAATTCACCTTCTCAAGTTAATTAAAAACCAGAGCATAAGCGTAATAATTCTTAGTAGATCATTAAAAGCAAAAACTATGATTTAAGGTTTTAAAATCAACCACAACAATGATAGCATTGAAAAATTTATGATAGATTATTATTTATAAGAAATTTTAGTTTGTAATTTATTCACTATAACTGCATTAAAAATTTATTTGAGAGCAGCTGGAAAGCTGGCTTGGTCGACCTATTTTCAATTAAAAAAATATTGCTAAAGTAAATAAATAAAATAATATGTTTAATTTATTGCTATTATTTTAAATTAGCTTTGGCTAAGAAATTAATCTAAGTAAAAAAATACAAAAGAATGCCAATAATTCTGAAACAGTCTTAAGCTAAAATTTATTAAAATGCCCTTTAGAATTAGAAAATTAGGAATTTATGATTAATACTTCTAAGGTAATATGTGAATAATCGGATTTGTTTTACTCTATGAAAATAAATTTGACGAAAGGAAATGAAAATTTTGAAATGTTTGTAAATTGAATCTTATGACGTAGGTCGATTTAGTTAGTCCTTGGAGTTGGTATAAGTCTTCCGATTGCGAATTCTATGATTAGCCCTTGGTTAATTAAACAATATAGAAGAATAGCTGTTTTGACAAAAATTATATCAAGTCACAAAAACTTGAGCAACAATCTTCAACAGAGAGTTAAATAATTGCACACAACTTCTCATTGAAAGGACTTTTGGTTGTATCTAATGTTTAGATAGATGCAAAATAATTTGAATTACAAATGCTTTAAGTTGATAACATATACGCCAAAAGAACCTATCAATCAGACGGTGCAATAAGTTTGAGTCATTTTAAAGGTTCTGGATAGTAAAATTTTATTTTGCAATATTCATCAAGCAATAAATCGATAATATAATTCGATATATACACTTAAAAATAAACATTCACAATTCGAAATGATGTTCCATAAAGGCCAAACTATCAGTTATTTTGGATAAATAATACTGACGTAAATACACCACAATGGAAATTTAAAATAGATTAAATCTCTTTGATGGATAAACCACTTTCATAGAAAGATCAATCTTATCATGCCATTTTAACATTAAATTCATAATTTATTTCACTTCCTCTAGAATTAAGCAATAAATTGATAGATGTATTGGCAAGTGCGAAAAATATCTCATGTTCATATGCAGATTCAGAACTATTTGTGATTGTATGTAAAAATATGAATCAAAGTCTAACCAAGACCCTAAGCATTACTCTGAACATATCTGACTTATAAATAAAACTAACTAACTTAGTGGAAAATTGCAAGAAGGATGAGGAGTAAAAGTATAGATGCTAATTGAAAGTTAAATTATCATCTTCAAATACAATCTTTTTGGGAGAACCCTTCTTTATTGACAAGAAAATTCTTCTCAATTATGAGACTGGATAGGTTGGAGTATACAAGGAAGTTTTGGATGAAAAATTTTAGAATAAAGATACTTTGTCTATTGAAAATTTAGGAATTTGGATTGTCCTCTTAACTATCATACTCGTTTTAATTTTCTGTTTGATGAATATTAAGCATGCCTTAAAATGGTTCATGAGAGCAATTAAATACAGAAAAGTGATATTATTTATATATATTCGTTTTAGACTTAAAACTTTGATGATGAGTAATAGTTGAGAAGCAAGGAAGTTGAGTTTAATGAGATGGAAAAAGCAGAATAAATGACATAATCAATTGAAGAAAATAGTATTTGAGTAGTTCAATAGTAATATTTGACATAAAATATATAAATTTTAATTATGCCTAAAATATCATCAGACAAGAAGCTTTTCTTTAAGCTTTTGGGAAAAGAATTAAATGAGGAAGAATTGGAAGAGTTAGTTTTCAGATTCGGTATAGAAGCTGAAGAAAGAGATGAAGAACCAGATCTTTTATATTTTGAAATTGCAGCCAATAGACCTGATTTGTTATGCATCGAAAATTTAGTGCATGCATTAAGAGTATATATGGGTTTGGAAAAGAAAAGAGTCTACACTTTTACTCCAGCGAAAGAAACAATATATGTTAAGGCAGCAGTAATAATATTATCCATGTTTATTAGACACAATAAATTAGACCATTTGTTGTTGGAGCAATATTGAGAGATGTTACTCTAACAGAAGATAGTTTCAAATCCTTTTTATCATTTCAAGATAAAATTCATCAAAATTATGCTAGAAAAAGAACTTTAGTTTCCATTGGAACTCATGATTTAGATAAAATAGAAGGACCTTTCTTTTATGATGCCAAAGCACCTTATGATATTGTATTCTAAGCACTCAAATAGACCGAACAGATGAATTGCATTGATTTGTTTAATAAATTAAGAGTAATTATATTCCTTATCCATATTAGGAAGATTAATACTTAAAAGGGTATTTGAAGATAATTGAAAATTCTCCTGTGTATCCTGTGATTTATGATAATTAAAAGAGGGTTTGTTCATTGCCACCAATTATTAATGGAGAGCATTCTAAAATGTCAGCAGAAACCAAAAATATTTTGATTGAAGTCACAGCAATAGATGAGTAAAGAGCTTTACACACTTTAAATTGTCTGATTAGTGGGTTTGCTATTTACAATCAAAAACTAAATGTAGAAAAAGTCAATATTGTCTATGAATTAACTTAGAAACAAGTTGTTACACCCATTGTCGATGAAAGAACCTTAACAACAAATATTTAATATATTAATAAAGTCTTGGGAATAAACATAAGTAAATAGAATAATAGTAATATTAGCAACTCAATAAGCATGTGATTTGTTGTTAATTATGGGAATAGATGGTGTAGCTAAAGATGAAAATATTTTGGATTGCTAAGTGCCATTCTATAGAAGTGATATCCTTTAATAATGTGACATTGCTGAAGAAATAGGAATTGCTTATGATTACAATAAAATAGAATTTAAAGTGCCTGAGACTGCAACGACTGGATCAGAATATAGATTAAATAAATTATCAGATATGGTAAGAGAAGAAGTTGCTCTTTGTGGTTTTGTAGAATGTTTGAATTTCGTATTAATGTCAATTGATGAATAAACAAAGATGTTAAATAGACCAAATCTGTAAAATTATGTGTCTCTCAACAATTCTAAAACTCCTTAATTTTAATCTGTGAGATCAACTCTCATTCCAGGAATATTGCACACTTTGTAAGCAAATTCAGATAGCAAATTGCCAATCAAATTATTTGAGGTTTCAGATGTTTGTGTAAAAGGATTGAAATCAGAGAAGGATGGATTCTAAAAAGGAGAAGGATAAGTGGGAGCTCATAATTAAAGAAATTTAGTTGCTATTCATTCAAGCAGTAAGAAAACAGAGTTGGAGATCCTACATGGTTTGTTAGATTAATTAATGATAAAACTAAGAGTGAAAAAGACAGATTATCACTTGAAATAATCAAATGGTAAAATTTAGTTTGAATTTAGATCCTTTGTTCTTCCATTAATTGTAGGCCTAAATCATTTATAAAGATCAACCAATCGGAGGTTTGGGAGTAGTTCATCCAGAAGTACTAGAAAGATTTGATTGGAAATATCCTGTAACATTATTAGAAATGAACATTCAGGTGATTTTGAATGATTTCTGAAATATTATGATAAATCCAATAAATTAGAAATAATATCAGATACTTTCATCCATATTTTTGAATGAAGCATTACAGCATCTATTTATAGATTTGTTCAATCTGATTGACCTAAGTTTTTCTTTAATATTTCTCTTTTTGTTTTCATTAAATTGATCATGACAATATTTCTTCAATTTCTCTAAAACAGTAATAACATTAAACTGCGGAAAGTATAACTCATAGTTCTTCATTTTATCAATGTCGATTTCAGGGACATACAATATAGTTCCATTTGTTTACTATTATCCTTAGAACTGACATTTATCATTTTCATTCTCTACATAATAATTGCCATTTGCTATCTTCACAGAAGGATGATTGTGTTATTATTAATAATTACCCTTTAAAGGCATATTGGTTTCTGTTCTTACTACCGAAGTTCTTAAATTATTTAGAGTGTATGGACTTGATCCTTATTTTATTGTATTATTGGTGAGATTATATTAATTGAAAGTTGCATTAGAATAAGAATAATCTCGTGGATCAAATTCATTTTCAGTATTACGTTGATATTAAACATAAGGATTCTGTAATGTTCCATTTGAATCATCATCTTAATTTTAATTTCTCAAAATATTAACATTTTAGCCTAATCCTGTTTTAAACTTCTGATTCATAAAACTTGTTCTCATTTTCTCAATTTGAGAAGACCCTTTTCTTTGGGCAATAGAATGAACATCAGGTTAATGAGAATCTTAAGACTAGCTATCCTAAGATTAATTTGATTTTTCATGAAATGCTCCCTAGATATCAAAACCTAGTTTAACGAGATATGATTCATTTAATTAGCTAAAATATTTATGTAGATATTTACTCTTCATTTAGGTATCCAAAATTAATAATAAAATCAATACCTTAATTTAAGATATTCTGATGATCAGACATGTTCGATTTTCTTTTAACCTATCTTAGTCTATCATATTTAAGTCTTTGTTGATTTTAACTTGCATTGGCATTTCTTGCTATTTTATAAATATTGGTTTGATAGAATACAAAAGGACAATCTTTGTATCTGTGAGTCCATTTGCACACATCACAAGTTCTGCCATATGTCTTTTAATATGTTAACTTTTCTCTTAATTGATGGAACAATTATCTACAATCTTCATCTTCAGAAATAACTTGTAAGAAATCATTTCTTTCAATATAAACAATAGATAAAAAGGTCTGAGCTTTAAAGTAAAATTGATAAGATGAATTAATAATAAATTCTAATTCTCCTATGATATCTCCTCTTTAATAATTTCTTTGCATCATTGACGAGTTGACCTCTTTCTCATTCTTTTAGAGAGCATCAAACCCTTTAGAAATGAAGTAACTGTTAACTTGTCCATCCAAAATAAATATTAATTTATTAGCTGGATCATAGACATTAACAATTTCATACCCAGGAGCAAAAGTGGCCTATTTGATTCTTTGACATAAATTATTTATGAGGTTCTCTGGAATATTCTCCTTTAAAAATTTAGATTTCAGTAGAATTGGTTTGTAAATGTCAATTAATACTTCCTATTTTAATGACCCACTCAATTTATTTAAAACAGAATCGTCCTACTCTTGCAATTATTCATCTATTTGATGTTTGAACTCAAAATACTTTCTAACCTTCAAGGACAGTTATAAATTTAATTGCTTCTGCTTAATATATTGATTGACTTTTTTCATAGATTTTTTTAATAAAGCTTTTTTCTCCTCCAAAGTTTTTAAGATTTCTCCAATCATGGAAATGATATAACCAAAAACACCACACAACACCATAGCCACCACAACTACATAAAGTCTTTCGATCGAAGTTTAAGGTACAATATCTCCATAACCAACTGTCAAAGTTGTTATAACGCTCCAATATAGTGATACTATGTATCTATCATACCATTCCTGATGATAATGGCCGTAATAGATGAGCCAACTGTTTTCATCTTGATACACTTCATATTCGATCCTTCCCAAAAGGTGCCAGCCACAACTACACATATGAGCGACTAACACTAAGAAATACACTAGTTTTCCTAATTCGATCACTGCCTAGACCTCTTCTTTAGCATTCAACAAATCTTCTACATTCTGTATCATTGATCTCACTCTTGCTATACGCAATAGCAAAATAAATTGGATGTAAGGGATGTTGAATTAGGCTAAAATAAAAGGGATTGCGATAAGTAGATCCCAAATAAAGTTGTTAGAAATGTAATGAAAAAATATGTCGCTTCGATTGGTGTGAATGATTCCATGACTATAATAGGCTGTGTTAAAGTTGAGAAGGATTTCAACAATAAATATATAACTTGGAATGGTTTCGAATAATAGGGTTGAAATTTGGCTTGATTTATCCAGCTCAAAACTTAGACTCATTGGAATATAGAAGATGTTGATAACGATGAAGCACACTACTACTGTGTCCCAAAAAATCTTAAATGTACTCTCAGGATATATTATCCCTATTTTATTTAAATATTGGCTGATAAAATTCCATAATGAAAGAGTTTAGAATATTATCTTATTAAATATTTGACATATTAAACCATTTAATATTTATTTTTGACTGCCTTATTTGAAATTTTCAAAATCGCTACTTTTGTCTCCCAATTTAAGGAATATCTCCTGATTCATCAACTTAATCTTTAGTTTATCTGCTTTGGTTTTGAGTTAATATATGAATCTAGCAACGTATTTTATAATTTTCAATCCTCCCTTCTTCCAAGTTTGATTCAAACTCTCAATTAAAAAAAATACTTTACCTCTCATTGAAATGCATGCTAGATTACATATAAAACCCATCTTCATTTTACAAAATCTATTCATTCCTGGGAGATAGTACTTTAACGGTTGGAATCATAGAACTTCTAGATTAAATCAACTCAATAAAGTTATTATTTCTGCTGTTTTCATACAATCAAATAAATTACTTTTCTTAGCTTAAATTATCACCTTAATCGGCTAGGGATTGCTGTTTATTTATCTTATGTAAATTGTATTCGTTTTCAGAACCAAATATTTATCGTTTAGTAGTGATCAGAGTATAAGGGTCGCTTTCAAAATTTTAGGACGAAATCATATTGAGAATGAATGAGAATATAACAAGCAATAAATAATATTGAAAAATGAAATATAAAAATTTAAATTATATTTAATAAGTATGGAAATTGAAAAATGGAAAACTCAATGCAGATACCTTTAGAACGAATTAGATTCAATGAAATAGCAACTATCAGATGCCAAAGATTTAATAAGATTAAATAAGGAATAATTGAAAATCTGTTATAATCCATAATCATTTGATTAGAGTAGCGAATGTAAGGCTGCATTGGTGTTGCTAAAATTCGTCTAAGAAGAAAATGAAGTATTAATGAAAAAGGTCGATCAATTGAGCGATGAAAGAAACCTAGCATTCGATAAAGTAAAACCAGTATTTAATGCGCCTCTAGGCCTTTATTTCTGACCAAATCAACGAGTCAAACCAAAGAATGGAATCATCGTTGATTACTAGTCTCAATAAAACAATTACTGAATTAAAGAAGAAATTAAATGAATAGGTCCAGATGTCAAATGAAATGATGGGAACAATCTATCTAGAAAAACATGTATTTTCAAAAATTATCCACCTTAGTTGACCCAACCCGATTAGTTGACTTTAAATTTTAATAATGTCATTTAATAAATGAATTCAATGCTATTAAAATAGAAATTACAAATCGAAGAGTTAGTGGAATAAAAAAACGATTTAGCATAACTTAATTTTAGTTTATCCAACGAAATTTTGAAAATTAGAACTCAAAGATTCACTCCCAGGAATTAAACAAAGACGTTCTGTATTTATTGATAATAACTTAAATATAGTTAGCCAGCATGAGGATCCATCGAAATTCATTAATAATTTAGTATAATGTAAGAATTCATCCCAATTATTTAGTATAAAAGAGATTATTTTTTGATGATGATTCACAAGATGAAAAAATGCACATGCAATAATCCGCTGTCTTTTCACCTCTTTTCTCCCCATCATTACCGCAAAAAGTAAAACGATAGTAAAAGTAACAAATACCAAAGGACTTCAAGTAAGAACCAGAAAAACACATACCAAAACTTGACTTAACTAAAGCTTAGCAAATCTAATAATTCAATATCAAAAGGATGTAGTTATTAGCTAATAAATTGGCAAATGAAGGCGTTGAATAGAAAATTTTTATGTAATTATACTAGTCTATTGTCTAGGCTGTAAGATGAATTGCTGAGAACTAAAAATAAGTATCACGCATAATTAGTCTTGAATTAACAGTTGGATTTACAATTGACAGAGTTGAACCTCTAAATTATGGAATTTTAAAATGTAAATGAAACATTGATCAAATCTAATCAGATGTACGAGGAAAAATGGTCAAACATCTTCCAATAGTTCTCTTTTTATAAGGAGTTCTATCTGAAACACAAAGACTAAATTTAGCATAACTTATAATCATATGCTACTTCAGATGATCAACAGTAGTTCAGTGTGTTTGAGTTTGAAAAAGCATTGAACTCCTCTAAGATTTACAAAAAGAATACTGCTCAAAAGAATCCCCTTAACAATAATCCTGCTCTTAGTATCATTAACTATTAGGATGATACTATTCAATAATCATCTTATAGGCTTCCGACTGACAGGTAAGAAGAAGCAAATAAATTCTTAACTTAGTAGTATAAATGTTGTTTAATGATGATGGCAAAAGAAGTCATCTCTTTGGATTGCCAACATGTTAAGCCTGTTTAGACTGATCACACTAAAGTGAAAATAAAAAGAAGCTACAGCAACACTATTGAGTATTTTCCTGTCTTCTGATACCCCATAAGTTTATGTGTCTTATCATAGTTCTACCCAATTAATTTAAAAAGATATAAAATTAAAGTATTATTATTATTGCAATTTATTAATGACCGATTAAGAGGCACACATACTATGCTTTAATATCAAGGCTACCAAAGAATAAGCGATCAGCATATCTGTTCTCTACACTATTACTTTGAGTTTATTTTATGGATCTCTTTTTGTTTTTCTTTGGACTCAAAGAACTAACATTATACTAAAGGAGAGGAGCTGTTACATTCTAATACTACAAGCCATCACTACATACGGATTTATAGTTTTATATCCGATAGCTGTACTATCTTCATAAAATTATGTTTATGATGACATCAGCTATTATACAATAATATTGTATTATTTAAAATGTTATAAGTTTTATAGCTTAATTTAAATACATTCCAATTTTATGCTATTTGTTGAGGGCCTGCAGGTTTTTTTATGCTTTTCAAAGGCCATGGAAATTATTTAAGCTTTAGGGACTTAATTTTATAATAGCAATGGCTATTTGTTGTATTTCGATAGGTCTACTTGAAGCATACACACAATTCGACCAAAACATATTCCAACAGAATGAGTCTGAATACAACATCTAAAAAATAATGCCAAGAATGGCTTTTGTGTATATCTCACAACTCATCTTGATTCTTGCAATATTTTTCATGAGAAAAGTTAATGTAAGATAAGCAGAATTATATTTTAGAAATTTCAATAGTTCGATTATTGGATAGCATTTGCAATTGAACTAATTTAATTCCTAATTAAAATAGTGTTGAGGAACAAGTTTAATTTTATTGATTGCAGTCCCTCTCACAAAATCCCATTGTATTACTACATCGATTGCTTCAAATTGTCTTTGATGTTGTTGTGTTCAACTATCCTACCTTTGTTCTTTTAGCATAAATCAATAACAGAATTACCTTTTGAAATGGAATGCTCAAGTTTTAGATTGTTCCTAGCTTAACCCTAATTTATAGAATTATTTTATCAATACTTGTGTTATTTCGATAGAACAAAATCATAGAAATTAATTATGGAAGAACCTCAACAAACATAAACAAACCTCAGAATCAACAATAATTATACAAGTCTATTTGAAAACGAGTCTTAATTTAACATTTTCAAATCCTCATTATCAAAATGCTTCATCTCCTATATTAATTTTTCATTGTGGCTTGAGAAGGAATAAAACGAGTCAAATGCCGATGATGATAATGAACATTTATTGAGTTCTGAATTCCAATTTATTTAAGAACTCATTTCTGAATAGAATGTATCCAAAATGCCCTCCACTTAAAAATACAATAAGTAGCTTGCTAATTAAGGTATAAATGATTCAGGCAGATTGGATTTCACTCAAGATCAAATCAATATAAATAAAGTTGAAAAAATTTGGTTGTACAAAGAGATTCTTTATGAAATTTTAAAGGAAGTGTTTGAACAACATTTCAAATACACTAATTCTTACTAGACTTTGTATGAACATTGTGAAAGAAATAGAATAATATGGATCAGGCTAGGATAAATTGGATTGACTGGGAATTGTAATTGAGTTTCAAAAGCTTGTATGTCATTTTCATATATTATAATTCAGATATTCATAATATTATATTTGTTTTAAATAAAACTCCTTGTGTGAACTATCGCATAAAAAAAATCTCCAATATTTAAAAATAATTCTAATATGTTGATTTAAACTGTTAAATTAATGCTCAATCTAAATCACCAAATTTTTCTGAACTGAAGAAATTTTAGAATTAAAGCATTCCAATTAAAACAGAAAAAAATTCAATTAAGATTTCAATTTTAAGTTAAATTACTGTAAAATAAGGATGCTTGAATAAACTGAGATGGATAAACAAAAAAGGTTTGAGCACATAGGTAAACTTATTTATTGTTGTTTTTTCTGTATGCTCTGTTATTCGTTTTAGATTGCAGGGAAGAACATAACATACAACATTTATAACTAAGTATGTGATATTGAGAACGACTATTTTAGGCTAACTTAACTTTTATTTATCCAATGCAATTCGGAATAAGCCATTTCATCTCTCCATTTGCTCTGCTCTTTGTGGATGCTATCATATCAAATTTCAGAATGGGCTTTGTAATTTATTTAGGAACCTTTAATGCATTTACGTATTTATTAGGTGCATTAATGGTTGCATCTTGCACTGAAGAGCACTACTTCTATTGCAATGTACGATTTCGTATTAATTAGTCCTACACATTAACAATTACGATAGGAATTGAGACCTTTTTTGGAGGAATTGCCAATTGTATATTCTATGTTTCTTATGCGGTGTATGCAAATTCATTAACTAATTCCTACAATAAATAGTTATACCTAGGAATAGCTTACTCTATACTGTCAACTTGTTAAGTCTTAGGGAATACAATAGGTAATAGTTTTTTTTATTTTAGGATTCTTTTTTTCGAGTAAGGTCTCCATTTTTCATTACTACTTGATTTTAGTGATAGCCATTCTAATTATCTAAGTCTTTTTGCTATTTGTAAAGGATATAAGACCGAAAAATGAACGAAAAACAATAATATTTGGATAATTAATAAAGCAATAATTAAATTAGCTCAGAATAGCATTTTCTTACCCTAAATTTTAATCCTTAATCCCATACACACTATTTTCGGCAATGGTACTTAATAGTTAAATTCATGTTAGCTCTAAGGCTGTTATTTTAATGTACTTCCAGTGCTTTTAAAGGGAGTTTTGGGAAAAACGGATAACCAAAAATCATTTATTATGTTCTTCTTTGGAGGAGTAGGATCTCTACTAGGAGGCTTTTTAAGTGGAAGGATCGGACATTGGACTAGTTTATTTAATGTAGCATGGTTTCAAACATTCTTAGTTGGTTTATTTTGCGTTTAATCTTTTTATTCTTATGCTGATAAGATTTTATTCATGACCTATTCAAGTGGATTCAATTTAGGATTGTCATATTCAGGATTGGAAGCATTGCATGCGATGATGATCGCAAAATTAATAAATAAGGAAAATTACTATTATGTTGCCAATAGTGCTGTTTGTGTATAATTCTATATGTTTATAATTAGAGTTTAGCATCTACTATCTTATCACTTGTGTTTATTTTTTTGAGTAAAACCACATTTATGTATTTCCTGTACTTTATGATATTGCTGATATTCTTTAATGTAGCATTTCTGGTGGTTTCATAAAGACGGTTCTCAAGCATCAAACAAGTAAGCCTTATAAATACAGAATAATCAGATTCATAAACTAAGGAGTGAGTGTTATTTGTATTATTATTATATCAAATTGGTTATCATTATTAAATATGTAAAGATTAATATAATAAAACGTGAGATTTGGTTGCGAAAGTTAAACTTCAGTATTATGAAAAAGAACGAGTACTGATATTTAATTAAATTTAAAATATCCTCCTTTATAAAGAGGACAAATTTTATTGCTTATCTGTCAAAGATAAATAATTATTTATTGTAAATTAGATTAATTATTTATTCATAATTTATATTATATTGATAATCATTAATCAATAGAAAAATGTTAATTAGTTTAGAATCTGCTAGAATTCTAATTAGTATTTGATTGATTCGCAAATTTTTGTTTTGTTTCATGCAATGGATTAAAAGGCTTCAATATTGAAAGGGAGGTTTTCAATAACTAAAATATATCTTTATCAATACCTTTCGCTTAGAAAACAAGGAACAAGTAAACCCTAGCTTCATTATAAATCTCTATAAGTGACTACATACAATATTAAAGCCACATTGTTTATGAGTAGCAAACACCTTTTAATAGAACCCTTTAAACTCCTGGAAAGTGATTTATTCTTTTGGATTCTTTTTGTAGAATCGTTTTAACATATCTTAAACTGCAGCAGCTCCTTTTGTTTTTTAATTAGTCATGCTATTATGGAGTTTTTTCATAAAATTTTCTGATTAGAGATCATTTTATTTGAATTATTCTAAAGATTAACCTCCATTCTCGTTGGCCATTATTTATTTTGCTAATTCTTCATATCCTAAGTCTTCATCTTCAGGTCTGATTAATCCCTCCATCTTTAACACCTATTCTTACTATAATTACAACTATTTTTCTAGTTCTCCCTTGGATTTCATTAAAACTGAACTTTTTTCAGAGTTTCCCTAATCGTGTATATCTAGAGAATTCCTTTGAGTTAATTACCCAACTTTACTATCCAAACTTGTTTTTGTTTAAGGAGGTTCAAATTAATTCGAATCCAAAGGGCCATTTACTTTTTATTTTCCTTAAGAATCAAGTGATCTTTAATTTCTAAGTTGTTGCTGTCTAAAAGATTCTTATGATAATCGAGAACTCCTTGGAGAAGTAACTTCAAACTATCTAAAATACTCGGAACTTTCATTTGCAGTCTAATATATTACTTAACTTTGATTCAAAGCAATTGCAACTGCTGTTTCCAATTTTTTAGGTAACTATTGAGCTATTGCTTATTTAATGTTCAAAGGAAGATCTAATTGGGTGATTGTGGTTTGTAGTAATTACATCAATAGATAGTTTTCGGTTTAGGTCTCCTAATCAATGTGTCCTAAACATAACTTTAATAATAATTACTCTAATGCCAATAAGTAGTGAATTATTGTTAATCTTCATCATTCAATTTGATAATCATTTAGAGTTATTGTGGCACTGATGTACTTGACCTTTTGATAGCAGAACTGCCATTAAATTTTAGTTATTCCTTTTTGTGTTTAAATTATTCATCTGCTTCTTCAATACTTTGAGATTATTTTAAAGTAAGTTTATCTAGGCTTTATTAAGATGTTCTATTGGAAGGAATTTCCTCAACAGTTTCAATTACCTAAGCATCTCCAGCCTTTTTTAGATTCATATGTCTACTTTAAGATTTCTATTATCCTTTTTTTATATGATCTTTCTAAGTGGTGCTTCTTGAAAATTTCACTTTAGCATTGCCATTTTCTGATTAACTATCTTCACTCTCTTAACAATATTCCTATCCTTCAGTTTGAATTCTTCTCCCGCTGGCATTCATTTTTTTATCGACTGATTTAATTCTTTTAGACTAATTCATGGGTTGTCCAGATGATGTCCTTTGTGTTTCAAGATTAGTGCCTGCTTATGTATCATCTTAATCTTTAATTGAATTTTAATTCTTAAAGAAATCTTTGGATGCAACTTCTAAAGTAGTTTATCTTCTTGTGACTTTATTAGAGAAGGCCTGTTTTTTAATTTTTTATTTTTTCAATTCAGCAGATTAATTTAGGGTGGAATCCTCTTCTTCTATTTTAAGAATAGACTTCTATTTTTTCTTCTTTGGATTGAAATTCGTTTAACTCAATTGTAACGATAATTTAACAGATCTTTCTGAATTAGACTTTGGACTATCTATTTGTTTGGTTTCCAATAAGGTTTGATTTTTTGATTTAACTTTCTAACTTGCTTTAACAGTATTTGAATGAGTTGGAGATCTCTCAAATCCCATGTCATCCAATCGTTCTTTATTTGAAATTTCACTAGTTTTATACATCTATTATGATGAATCTAATCTCTAATCAATAGAATATCCGTCTTCATTAAATTAATTGTCAAATTCATAGACAGATTTATACCTACTAGTTAATCGAGGTGAACCATTCTATGAATTTTGAATGTTTTAATCATCACTTTTATCTTAAAACTCTGTATTTTAGTATTTTAATTCTCTCCCTGAATTCGGAGTTATTTTATTTAATTCGCCTTTGAGTTGATACACTTTTTACTAGAACTACTGATTATCTTTTTATAATTTTGAAATTAAATTTTACTATCCAATATCAGAACATTATGTAGCTTAATCTTGAAAGGTCTTGGAATTCAAAGAAGACAACTGTTTTTCTAATTTCTTAAATTCATAATTTAATTGTGCTTTATCCTATTCTGATTTACTAACATTTAACTTCATTGACTCCAATTCTAAAGCTGTTTAAATATACTGATTTTCTGTTTGTCTAACCTTATTCTGTAACTCAAATATTTCCTGATTCTTCTTATCCACTTCCATTTTCTTTTCAATTAATTCCTATCTAATTTTCTCACTTACCTGAGATTCATCAGCCGAACTTTAATTACCTCTCTTAGATGAACTTAACTTATCTTTTTTATGTTAAGGCTACTAAACTTATAAAGTTCTGCTTTTCAATAATTCATCCTATTTTTATTTCTGTTACACTTATTAAAATAATTTAGCAACAATCTTAAACGTTTCCGATTATATGTCCTTATAATTATGGGTAACATGATGAATAAATTCCTCCAACACATCCCTTGCCACTTAAGGCTCCTACTTAGAAGCCTCAACCATTAATTAATCCATTTCTGTTGTCTTAGTATAAATGGTCTTATAGATCTATTTTAACTTTTCAGTTGCTGATGATTCACCCATTTGAGTAAACTCATGTTTCTCCTGCATCACCTTCTGTATCTCCTCTATATTCTTTTAGTTGTCCTTGATAATTTCTGATAATTTAATCTCAAGGTAATCCTTATTGAATCCTCGTATTGCTTCTTGAATGTCCAAATTAGTGTCCGTCCCTTCACTTAACATTATTGTTATTTTTGGATCGTAGCGTTTCATTACAATTTGCATATTCAGTTTATTGCTCTATTTTAGGACTTCCTATAAAATGTCTCTTTAATTATCATCAATTTCGTAGTTCATTTTATGCTTGTATTCAGTTTATGGTTATCCGGAAATCGAAGGCAATCCTGTCTATTAACTACTCATCTACCTCGTCATATTTTTATTCTAAGGAGTCTGGTAACTTGATACTCGCACCCCTCCTAATTACCCTATTTCTCCAATCCCATCCTTCATTTATTTCTTGGCTTACGATATTAACTCTGCCTTTTATTGATAGTCACTTGGCTCATTGTCAAACTCATTAACCATTTTACTATTATAAACAGCCTTGTATAATTCCTTCCATACTGATGACAGTTTATTCACGATATGGCTAAATTCATTCAAATCTCTCGATTACAGTAGAAACCCTATTTCATTAGCTGCAGCATCCAAATTATTAGACACTGTTTACAGATTTGCTAAAGTGCCCTACTTAACAATTGATTTATTCAACCCTTATAAATATTACTGTAGTTTCTGTAAACTCTAATGCTCTGCTTAACTCTATTGAATTGATAACATTTTGGTGTTATATATATGTTTAATATATAAAATACAAAATAATAATTAACTCAAAGTAATTCAAAACAATTATTTATAATATTTCATTAAAAATGCTGGATTTTAATTAATTAATTAATTAATTTTATTAAATGCAAAGGTTTATCTTAATTAAATCTATAATTTATTAAGAATTTTGTTTACAACAAACAATTATAAAATTAGATATATTCGATTCACAATCTCATTTATCTTTATAAATGGCCATTCTTTAATTTTTCTCATTATTAGTAATTGCAAACTGACTTTCTAATATTATTTTGACTCTAAATTCAATCATAAATTCATTATTTTTAAGATATATAACTATAAACTTAATTCGAAATTATGAGTTATTATTGGTTAAGCAATAAAATTTTGATTAATGATTAAATAATAAATTCTAAATAATTTGTGCAAAGAAATTTATATTGTTATCATTATGCAATAATAATTATAAGGTATACTATTGATAGAATGGGACTAAAGAACTATTCGATTGTTATGTCAACGCTAAGATCCGGAATTTGTTTTTTTCCTTTTTTGCATTAGCCAATTAATGATTCGTAATAGCATTCATCAACTCTGCTGTTGCATTCATCTGCTTCAATGATTTTGACGCATTCCTTAACACAACCTTCCGAGGTTGCATTAGTCTCTTTAATTTAAGTACTCCAATAGCAACGATCTGAGGCTTGAGAGCATTATTCCTTAGATATAAATGAAGAACAAGGAATTGACTGACATTTTCCATTAATGAAGGTGCAAACATTGGCTTATTTATTACAGAAACATCTCTCAGTTATTTATTCGCATTGTCTACAAATTAATTCACTAGTGAGAACACAAGAATAGCCATTCATTTCATTACCTTAACAAATAGTGGTTGAAGGTCCATATAACCTAGAATATAATAATCAAAAATTACTCGCATGGTTAGTTTGTACAGATTTCTGTTTCATCTAATAGTGCAAATTTCTACCAATTACATTTGAATCCATTGAATGTCAGCTTATTGCAAATACTTAAGGCTTAATCTCCAAAGCCCTCTTGGGAAATGTGAGA